AAGGCTCAGTATGACTTGATCAATCTAAGATTCCAGGACTTTAAATCAATCAGTGACTATAATTCTGCTATGTTCCAAATAACATCTAAATTAAAGTTATGCGGACAAAAAGTCATTCATGCTGATATGTTGGAGAAAACCTTTTCTACTATGCATATCTCTAACATGCTGCTCCAACAGCAATATAGAGAAAAGAGTTTTAAAAAATACTCCGACTTAATATCGGTATTATTGGTAGCTGAGCAAAATAATGACCTTTTGATGAAAAATCATAATCTGAGACCCACTGGTTCTAGTCCTTCAGTTTATGGTCCATTTGGCCATAATTTAGCCACTGAATCAAATGCAACATACAGTGGCAGTAGAAGACATTTTAAACGTGGGCATTTTAATGGTCATAAAAACAAGTCACACCGAGAATATAAACAGGTCAATAGACCAAATTATAAGGGCAAGGGCAAACAAAAGGCCCATCAAATAAATCGCCCTCCAAAAACCTCGGTAAAGACGACTTGTTATAAATGTGACATGACGGGACATTGGGCTAAAAAATGCCGCACTGTAAAGCATCTGGTGGAATTATTTCAATCTTCCATGAATTTGAACAACAGCAAAAATATGGAAGCTAATTATGTCAACGACACGACTCCACCTCTGCCAAAATTTGACTTGTCCGATTTTTTTGCGGATGATGCCATTATGGACGATGCTTTTGCAATAAACCAAAATGTCACAAAATAAAATATTAGACTCCGATCCTTATGTTGTAACATATTAGTTTTATGTATTTTTTCTTTCTTCCCTTTTTCTTTTGTTTTTAAATAAATGTGTGTAATATATGTACTTTATGTTAAATTATATGCACAATTTGTGATCAAGCTTATGTTTATTTACACATTTTGAAGATATGGATCACTCAAATGATAAAGAGCTATGTCTGATAGACAGCGCCACAACGCACACCATTTTGAGAAATAAAATATATTTCTCTCAAATGACTTTAGTTGAGGCTAAAGTCAATACCATATCAGGTGTTGCGAAGCTCATTGAAGGCTCTGGGAAAGCATATGTGATGCTCCCTAACGGGACCAAAATAATTATAAATGACGCTTTATACTCCAGCAAATCGCGGAGGAATTTATTAAGCTTTAAACATATGCGTCAAAATGGTTATCACATAGAAACCATGAATGAAAACCAAAAGGAATATATTTATCTTACAACAACTAAATCTGGCACTAAATATATTTGTGAAAAAATGCCAACATATTCCTCAAGACTATATATATTTCACATATATTAGTCCATTTGAAATAAATTTAGTTTCTAACACAAATTTAGATGATCAGAAAACATTCATGTTGTGGCATGACCGTTTAGGTCACCCAGGCCATGTAATGATACATAAAATCATTAAGACTTCACTTGGACACCCATTAAAGAATATAAGGGTTCCAATATCAAGGGATTTTCCTGGTAAGGCCTGTTCTCTTGGAAAAATGATCATCATGCCCTCTATGAACAAAATTGCAACTGAATCACTTGCATTTTTAGAAAGGATTCAAGGAAATATTTGTGGGCCGATAGCCCCACCATGTGGACCATTCGATATTTTATGGTGTTGATTGATGCTTCAACACGTTGGTCACATGTTAGTCTGTTATCGACTAGAAATCTAGCATTTGCTAAACTCCTTGCTCAAATCATACGATTAAGAGTTCATTTTCCGGATCATTCTATAAAGAGAATCCGACTTGACAATGCAGGAGAATTTACATCTCAATCATTTAACGACTATTGTATGTCGATTGGGATTGATGTGGAACATCCTGTTGCTCATGTCCATACACAAAATGGTCTTGCTGAATCTTTGATTATACGATTACAATGAATCGCCACACCATTATTAATGAAGTGTAATTTACCTTCATCAGCTTGGGGACATGCTATTTTACATGCAGCAAATTTAGTTCGGCTTAGACCGACTACATATCATGAATATTTCCCAATGCAATTAGTTACTGGACAAGAGCCAAACTTAGCACACGTAAAAATATTTGGTTGTGTTGTTTATGTTCCAATTGCTCCACCTCATCGTACAAAAATGGGTCCTCAAAGAAGGTTGAGAATTTATGTTGGATTTGAATCTCCCTCAATAATCAAATATCTTGAACCGATGACTGGTGACTTATTCACCGCACGATTCGCTGACTGTCATTTCAATGAGACAGTATTCCCAACCTTAGAGGGAGAAACTAATAAATCGGATCCAAGTACGAAAGAAATAACATGGAATGCAACATGATTATCACACCTTGATTTCAGATCAAATATATGTGAGCAAGAGGTACAAAAGATAATCCATTTACAAAATGTTGCAAATCAGTTGCCTGATGCATTCACAGATACAAAGAAAGTGACAAAGTCACATATTCCTGCTATGAATGCTCCTGCCAGAATCGAAATTCCAACAGAGAATTTTGAAAAATCTCTTGCAAATGATTCTTCTATACGCAAAAAGCGTGGCAGGCCACTTGGATCAAAAGATATAAAACAAAGGAAAACTAAAAGGCAGGAATTGGTGTGTGATGCCAAAGATGTTCATCCTTCTAACACAAGAACATGAACAATTTGAAAATACTGGCATAGAAAATGATATTGACAAAACAAACATCTCAAATAATGATCCAACTTCCTTAAACGAGGAAGATATTCCAGATAATGATAGAAACGTTGATAATTATGAAATTTCTATAAACTACGTTTCTACTGGAATGCAATGGAATCGTAAAGATGTTGATATTAATGAGATATTTGTCTATGCCGTTGCCACAAATGTTATGAATGAAAACAATGACAATGAGCCAACATCAATTGAAGAATGTCGAAAACGACATGATTGGCCAAAATGGAATGAAGCTATTCAGGCTGAATTGAAATCACTTGAAAAATGTGATGTTTTTGGACCGATAGTCCCTACGCCAAAAGGCGTAAAACTAGTGGGCTTTAAATGGGTATTTGTGCGTAAACGCAATGAGAAAAATGAAATCGTAAGATACAAAGCCCGACTTGTTGCCCAAGGGTTTTCTCAAATGTCGGGAATTGATTATGAAGAAACCTATTCTCCAGTAGTTGACGCAACTACATTAAGGTTTCTCATTGGCATGTCTGTTTTTGAAAGGCTGCAAATGCGCCTAATGGATGTAGTGACTGCATATTTGTACGATTCACTCGATACAGACATTTATATGAAAGTTCCCGGAGGATTTAAAATGCCTGAAACTTATAGCTCGAAACCTCGAGAAATGTTTTCCATTAAATTACAAAAGTCATTATATGGACTAAAACAATCTGGACGAATGTGGTATAATCGTCTCTGTGAATAGCTTCTCAAAGAAGGATATAAGAATGATCCAATTAGTCCATGTGTTTTCATTCGGCAATCAGATTCCGGATTCGCCATAATTGCAGTATATGTTGATGACTTAAATATTATTGGAACTCCCGATGAAATTGAAAATACTGCAAATTATCTTATGAAAGAATTTGAAATGAAAGATCTCGGGAGAACCAAATTTTGTCTCGGACTTCAAATTGAGCATTTGAAGAATGGAATTTTCATCCATCAATCCAATTACACCGAGAAAGTGTTGAAGCGGTTCTACATGGACAAAGCTCATCCATTGACTTCACCAATGGTGATTCGATCTCTCAACATACATGATGATCCATTCCGTCCCCGAGAAGACAACGAATAAATACTCAGTTCCGAAGTACCATATCTGAGTGCTATTGGAGCGTTGATGTTTCTAGCTAATAATACTAGACCAGATATTGCATTTTCTGTAAATTTATTAGCTAGGTACAGTTCATGCCCAACAAGACGTCATTAGAACGGGATCAAGCACATATTCCGTTATCTACGCGGTACAGTTAATCTCGGCTTATTCTATCACAAAGATGCAAAGGCCACTTTAATAGGATATGCAGATGCTGGATACTTGTCAGATCCGCAAAAGGCGAAATCACAAACCAGGTACGTATTTACTTATGGTAACACCGCAATCTCATGGAGATCTATGAAGCAGACATTGACAGCTACATCATCAAATCATTCAGAGTTAATTGCATTATATGAAACCGGAAGAAAATGTGTGTGGCTGCGGTCTATGATTCAACACATCCAAAATGAATGCGGTATGGAGCCTATTACTTGTCACCCGACTGTGATCTACGAAGACAACACTGCGTGCATAGCTCAGATTAAAGAAGCTAAGGCTACATCAAAGGAGACAGAACGAAACACATCACCAAAGTTCTTCTCTACTCATGATCTGGAGAAAGAAGGGACGATCAACATTCAACAAATCAGATCTAGTGAAAATCAGACCGATCTCTTCACCAAATCTTTACCCCCAAATAAGTTCATAGAACTTGTGCAGAAAATCAGCATGCGACGCCTTCAAAATTTATGTTAATTTCAGAGGGAGTATTTGAATGCACTGCACTCTTTTTTCCTTCATCATGTTTTTATCCCACTGAGTTTTTCCTGATAAGGTTTTTAAGGAGACAGTACATCCAAATACAACGACATTATAAGTCGTAATTTTTACCCCTTAATTTTCACAATAAATTTTAAAATAATAAATATCTATTCAAGGATGAACATTCAAGGGGGAGTGTTGTAAAATCCTGAGAAAGATAAGTATGAATTGTTCATCCTTGTCATCAAGACACTAATCCAATTTTCATCCTTGTAATCATAGATAGACAGATGACTAGGTTGAATAATGCCAGCAACATATGTGGAAGTAGTCTTTGATGATTCATCATCAAGCCCAAATAGTATAAATATGGCTTGATCAAACCTTTATAATGTAACTCAGAAATTCAGAAAATCTTGAGATATTAGAAGAATATCCTGAGTTATAATCTTTATATCTATCTCATATCTATACTTCATCTTCTTCATTTTTCAATAATACTTTTAATTATAGCCAGGAGTATTAGACAATTTACTTGTTCAGCTGCCTTTTTTGAGCAAAAGGTGAAGTGTTTGAAAAGAAAAACTCCATATCTATAAGAGGGGGCTTTGACCAGAATGGGGCACGGTGGTCGGCCACAGAGTTGAATTGGTTCGGTATAACTGAACAAATAGGGAAATAGAGAGAGAGATAGATTACGACTGCATCTCATCTGCACGGTTCTCTGACTTGGGTCAGTCAAGAAAGAGTTCAACCCCTGCAAGCATTTCGGCCAAATAAGAAAAATTCGATCAAGAAGGCAATTAAAAATTCAATCTTTGCATTCTTCATCTTTCACGGGTATCAGTCCATCTTGAAACAAGTTAAAAACTCTACTCTCAGATCCAGCTGCTAATCTTTTTTATTCTCCATCTTGTCTTGGTAAACCATTCTCTAGTTGAGTGTTCAGTGTGGGTGAATTATGTGCATCTATAAAGCATTCTCCACATCTGCATATTTATGTGCTGTCTTGGTTGGTTGGATTTTAAGAGTTCTGGTCAAACTCAAGTAATGATATTGAAGTTTTTATCCCTCAACCAGGCTTGCAAGTGCCCAGTTTTGTCTTCTTACCTGTATATGATTGTGTTTCTAGTTTCACATATGGCAATAAGTAGTATAATTTCTGAGCTATTCTTTTTTGGGCCTGTGGAGGTGCTTTATTCTTATTACCATATATGTGACACCTTCAATTTGGACTACTATTCATTATTTCATTTGACCCTGATCTATTACTACTTTTGGTAACTGTTATTTGAGCTGGTTTTTGAATTTCCATTATTGGGCGTGAAGTTCATCTTTCTTGATGATGGGGTTTTACTATATGTTTTATGTATGTGTTTTGCTTTTTTTTTTCCAGTTTGACTTTACTACGCATCTGCTTAAAAGTAAGGAAGTACTGGTCAAGGATGTGGTCAAGTTCTGGGCAAAGACTTCATGCTGGTTTGTTTAAAATCAAGTCTTTTCATTGACTTCCACTAAAAGGGTCAGGTCTTGCGCTTTGCAGCAAGTAGCTCATTTGGGATATGTACATACTTTGGTTCTTGATGGAAAGCTTGAGACAATATTAGGTTTAGCATATTTGCAAAAATATGGGTGGGCTGTGTTCTAGAGGTATAGTGACTGAAGGTGGCGGTCTTCCACAAGCCAACAGTCACATAAATTTTGGCGCTGGGATGGTTTATCAGTCGTGCGGTTTGAGGCCCACACAAGTGAACGCCAATCCTACACAATCTCATGATGCGGGAAGTGCTGATAAACAGCCAAGTGATCACCAGTCTTTTTCTTTCCCGGAAATTGATGCTCAATCCAATGGGGCCTATATGGATGATATCAATGATGGGATTCCTCGCTTATCTAGAACCCTATCTCAGAAATCTCGATCCACAAGGTCTAGACAAGTGGCTATGGCAAAGGTATGTAGTCCATAATATGCATGCAGTTGGGTAAATATTTATTTTTCTCAAGTAGTCAAGATGATATTATTGTTACTTTAAAAATGTTATGTGTTTGGTTGTATTGAATATGGGAAAAATGTCATTAATCAGTTTACATGAAAACCAGAGTGAACTAAAAAATAAAAAGTAATAATTCCCTTGTCAGAAAGAATCCTCTTCTATTCAACGAATCCTCATCAAGACTCAATAAATTAAACTAATTGGTAAAGTGCATTTAGACTGTTTTAGAAAAATTGCATTTAAAATATTTTTTCCTATAACTAATTTGACTAACAATTTAGCTAGCTGTTTACTGCTGAATGAAAGATAAATACTAGAAGTATAATGACTTCAGTAAGGATTGGTACTATGAATATAGTTGAGTACTCGAGTGTAAGGGTGTTTTTACTTGGACAATTAAATATACCAAACCAGACATCTACCAGACCAGTTCAAGACCAAACCAGACTTGGACAATTAAATATACCAAACCAGACATCTACTAGGCCAGTTCGGACCAGATCAGACCAGACCAGAAAATTTCAGTCCAATTAAAAACATCTTAATCACCTGTTCATTGTGATACTAATATGAAATAAAGGCATATAGTGACACTTTTTATTACTGTTTTTGTCAAAGTAACTATATTTATTATGAAACAAATACTATATACTCTCAGTTTCAATCATTTTTAACCCAATACTTGATTCCAGTTCTGGTAGCTTTGGTTTTTGATATATCTGGTAAGAAGAAGCAATTAAGCTAGTGCTCAAATATCCATTAAGATCTTATATGGTTATGTTTCTGAAGTACACATAAAATATATACTGCTAGAAGAAATAAAAAAATGGAAACTCCCAACTCTAACCCATAGATACCAGTGAAGTGATTATGGTCAGAAAACTAGATAAGCTTGGAAAGAGATGTCTTAGTTGCATTGTTATTCTTGTCAATGGTATTGCTACTCTCATTATATCCGTAATTCAGAATTGTCTCTAACTGGTTTTTAAGTGTTTTCAAGTTTAAGTAATAGATATCTAAGAAAAGATCCTCAATCCCTAATCTCCCTTATCTATGAAATATATCGAGAAAGAATGTTGAGCAGGCTGTGAAGGAGTCGAGTAATATATTTCAAGTTTAAGTAATAGAAATCTAAGAAAAGATCTTCAATCCCTCATCTTCGTTATCTATGAAATATATGAGGAAGAAGTTTAGCAGGCTGTGACGAAGTAGAGTAATATATACGCGTAGCAGTGTAATATATACAGAGTATATTATACCGCTTTTTGTATTTATTTTAAAATTTCTCCTTCAATGGTAACATGCTACAATAAGCAATTCCCCGATAAGAAAGAAATAAGTGGACACAAGACTAACTGCACAGTCTTTACCAATTCCTTGGGTACTTGAAAGAACCAGCTACAACTTTTAGAGTGCTAACCGTTGGTTGGTGTGGGCGGCTGGCAGGAGGGAGCTGCATGGTGCTGTTGCGGCGGATGGAACCGGCGGTGACACGATGCCAGTGACTGAAAGGAACCTGGTAGTGGCAACATAGCTGGGAGTTTCTATTGGGTGGCTTCGTCGGCGGAAAAAGGCAAGGCCGCAAGGGATCCATGATGGGATTGAGAGTGGAACCCCCTCATTGATTAAGGTGACAAAGGGTCAGCCGGAGTTGAAAAAGAGCAGACCTGAGACTATGATGATCAATGGAATGGAGTTGGATGATGCTGGGTGGCAGCATCGCCTGGAGTTCTAGATGGAGGACCCCTCACTGTGAGTTGTCCTATATGACGGGACGAGCATTGAGGGGGAAGGTGCTGAGGTAGATAGGTAGGAAACATACTTTTCCTTACACACGTGGTTGCCAAAATCGGATTGGTAATGATGAGGGAATGGCTGATTGAGGAGATCCTTCATGGTGGCTATTCAACCGAGTTTTGCTTCTTTTCCAAGGTGGGGAACAAGAGTTCATAGGTGCCTCCCTAAAATCTAGCCCGTAGCTGGTCAAACTGGTAATGACTTTAGAAGTAGGATCACTAGCTTAGCTAGCGGAATTTTAATTTAGTACGGGGTCAATGATTTGTGTAGTGTCCCCTGAGACCATCTCCTATTCTATGTCTGGTCGCGTTAGTTGCTCTTATGATAAGTATTTAGCTTTTTACTCTTTATCTCTGACCCAATAAATTAAGCCCCCCTAAAAAATGAGTTATTTAGAGTGCTAAGCATGAATTATGAGCCTGCATCTAGAATGTCTCATATTCTGAATTTCCAATTCGCAATGTTTAAAAGGGTCTGATTACTTCAAACATACTGGAGATTACATCCAAAACCAAAAGCCATGGTAAATTCCTTATAATGAAGCCCTGAACACCCTCTTCCCTTATGCAAGATAGTCAACATACCATCCCCTGGTTAATCATATTACTATCTAATTCTGTATACAATTTTTGGCTCCATTTATGAAAGCAAAAATAATAAAACAATAAAATCATGAGCACAAGAATAACTAAAAAGGAGTTAATTAATGGTATATCATTAAAATGCTATTGATCTGCAAATCCGCAATTTGGAAAAATTTCAGTAGTTTTTTATTTTCTACGTTGACCTTAGAATATATAAAAAGCTTAAAAGCATGATGCGAAGATGAAAATATAGTGCTATACTGCTTTTACATCACATAGCTTGGCCCGAGAGGAAAGTCAAGAGAAGTCAGATGGCGGAAAGGAGAATCTGAAATGTTTAAAGAAAAATTGAACTGGATGGTGCCTCTTGTAGACTAGAGTAGCTACATTACCCCTCCCCCCTCCCACCAAAAAGAGAAGAAGTCTAGTATAGAGAAGTTTAGTAGCCGCTTACTCTGCCTGCTTGGAGATCGCATAATAGTAAAAATTATACTCGCCCATAAGGCCATAACCAAATTAACTTACCACTTCTCATTTTTGTCCATCTCAAAGTTATATTCCCATTTTCTGTTAAGGAAAGAATTGCGTGGTGGATGATTTTTCTTTCCTTAAATAAATACAAATTTCAAAATTGATTTATTTTCTTTATAAGTATACTAAAATCAAATGAGAACCTAAATTGGATACAAAATTTTTTATGGGCATGGGCCCTCTATTATGGCGTTTGGGTATAATGATTGAGGCCCTAATGTGCTATAGATTTGGAGGCCCCGTGCAAATATGTAATTTCCCATTTTGAACATGGTCAGGGACAACCTTGATTTCTAGCCTATATCAGCCAATATTCGCAGGACCTGCAGTTAATTATCATTGCTTGAATCAATTATATGCTTAATCTTGAACTAGAATCTTGATTAATATTTTTGATGTTGCAAGTGATTATTTGTATCTAATTTACTAGTTGAAGCATGTTGCTGTATATTTTCTCAAATCTTAATAGCGTTCTTGGTAGAATTCACTGGCATCTTTATATGCTTGTTTATCATTTCCTCCGCACATGACAGGTTTCAGAAGTGAGTTCACTTTTGGGGAAAGCTGGTGTGAAGGCTTATGATGTGTTGGACACACTAGGTAGCAGCATGACAAACTTAAACTTGAGTGGCGGTTTTGCATCCAGCATGGCTACTAAAGGAAATAAAATATCAATTTTGGCGTTTGAAGTTGCAAACACTATTGTCAAGGGTGCAAAACTCATGAATTCCCTTTCAAGTGAGAACATTAAACATATGAAGGAGGTTGTGCTCCCATCAGAAGGGGTGCAACGTTTAATATCAAAGGATATGGATGAACTCCTTAGAATTGCTGCGGCAGACAAGAGGTGCCAATGGAAGTGATTATATGCAAAGTTTTTTATGCTATTTCATTTACAAGAGAGGAGAGGCTTATTTTATTTGTTAATGTGCAGAGATGAACTGAAAATATTTTCCGGAGAGGTGGTTCGTTTTGGAAATCGCTGTAAAGATCCTCAGTGGCACAATTTGGACCGTTATTTTGAGAAGTACTCGTGAGACACTCTTGCCTCTAGTTTACCTGTGCAATTTCTTCTTCAGGCAAGTATGTTTTAAATCATTTGTTGTGCCATAATTGGATTTAGGTTAGAATCAGAACTCACATTCAACGAACAACTTAAAGAAGAAGCAGAAGTAGAGATGCATCAGTTGATGACATTCGTTCAGCATACAGCTGTGAGTATTGTCTCCTTGATTCCAAGTCCTTTTTGCCTTTTGTCCTTTTAAAAGAGTCTGTGACGGATAAACTTTGAGAAGTAGAGAAGTGGAACTGATTTGAAAGGTAGGGTGATGATTTGCTGAAAGACAAATGGCTAATGAAGAGAGTTGAGCTGATTGCTTGATTCCAGATTTGCACAAATTTAGGAGATATATATTCAGAGTGAACATGACATGATAAGATCGAACTAAACCATACTAGAGTAAGGCAGATCCCTGCCCGACTGGATCCAACTGTACCAAACCTAACCAGGGTGAGCGAAATTTCCTCAGGTTGGACCAGACCAGATGAACCAGGTGGGACCACGGAAAGACATAAGGAACACGATGATGAAATGCACAATGATTGTTTTATAATTGAATTAATTTCCAAGTGACGTACATCAATCGAAGTACATCTGTTTTAAGTTTCCAACTTTCCATGTGGATTCCCTTCGTTAGAAGTAGTAAAATACCATTATTCCAGCTTGCATGCAGTTGGATGAAGAATTTTTTATTGTGATGGAAAGTCAATTTGGAATGTTAGAAATTGTAGAACACAAACCGAAAGAATACATATGAAGTCAACTATGTATACTGATTACTGAATGAGTTGAGAATGAAGAAACGTAGTGCAGAAACTCAGAAAGTAATGTGATGTCAGTATGACAAATTTAGAAGCAGGTAATACACTTCACAGGCTTGAGCCGATTAAAGAATCAAATGAAGAGTAGTAGTGAGAAGCTTTCTTGAGTAAAAAAACCCACAGAAAAGATAGTTGAATATTTGTGCATACTATTGATTGCCGTAAAAGTGATACATCTTTCATTCCTTACAAGCCAGAAAAAGAAGCAAGGGCTGGATTTTATTAATCCATTCTTTAGATTCTTCTTTGTTTTAAAAATCCACACCTTCAGCACTACCCATTTGTCTTCTGTTGAATAAATTTTGTGGAGAATAACTGTAATAGTATTGATTTATGGGTGGACAATACGTTTTGCAAGGTTTGCTCTTATCTCAGCTGCTGAGCTTAGCTATTGATTATCTTAGATCTAATAAAGGTTTTCATTGTTATTTCTAGGAACTATATCATGAATTGCATGCCTTAGACAGATTCGAGCAGGATTATCGGCGTAAGGTTCAGGAAGATGATAATTTAAGTGCTGCTCAGAGAGGTATTTGTGCATGCTTTATCTTGTATGATAACTTATTAGAAAGTATACAGAGATTGAAGAAATGAAGAGAGTATTATTACTTGATCATTGAGAGCAGCTATACAAAGTATATATAGAGTCGGTTAGGTCATAACAAACTAACGGACTCTAACCGGAGCTCTAACCAATACTAGTCTATTACAAAATATTCTAGTAGTCTATTACAAAATATTCTAGTAGTCTATTCTAGAGTATATCTAACATAACTCTGTTGTTGGATGCGGACACCGGAAATTCTTTAGTATCATTAGAGTCTATTTGGCAAGGGAAGGATTGTCTGAAACGATTGAAAACCTGAAATTGCTGAATTTGTTGAAACTGTGGTTGATATGGCTGAACAGCCTGAACTAGTTGAATGGTCAAGAAAGAATTTGAATGTACTTTCTTAGTTAATGAAAGAACATTATCTCAAAATGTGAGAGCCATCTTTTTCCTAAAATAACCTTCACTATTTTGTGAGAGCCATTCTGTTCACCCTCACCCAAGACGGTGATGTTCACCCCCACCCCTCCTTGCGTGCCACATGGCATGCCAATTCTTTTTTTAAACTTTTTTCATTTCTGATCCAAATTATGTAATTTTCTATGATCTTTCGTATGGTACCAATATTGCATATGTAAAATTTACAAAAAACTAATTTTTATTATCTATTTACCATAATGTATAACAAGGTTTTGATTTTAAATTTTACATATGAAATATTGAATTTGATATGAAATATTGATGTCATATGAAAGATCATAAAAAAATATTTAATTTGACATATTTTTGTAAGAGTTGGATCATAAATGAAAAATAAATGAAAAAGTTATAACAATTTGAAAAAAGAATTGCCATGCCATGTGACATGCAAGGAGGGGTGGGAGCGAACATCACCCTCATGGGTGACGGTGAACAAAAGCACTCTCTTTTTTTGCCGTCTCACAATAAACTTTACCTTTCATTTTAGGAAATAATTGTATGGACAATATCTTTTCTAGCCTTTTAAATAGGTCTCAACCATCCAATTTCACCTTTTTAACGTATGTGCCAAACCGAAGTGTAAACTTTATATTGGATGGATGGAGTATATCTTCTCATGTGCAGTTGTAAGAAAAATTGCATGCAAATTTTCTTCTTTTTTCATGGGTCTTCTATGCTCATTGCAGTACTGAAGAGTAATAATCATGAACTTGATTGCTTCCTTTAGCAAACGTGTTTCTTGAATGCATAACACAAATTAGAATATTCATTGGATGGTGCCTTTAATTTTTTGTATTTATTTTCAATTTTCTTTTTCTGCTCCGGTCTTTTTCGGGAGCAAATGGTTGAGAAAAGGCTTCAAAAGAGTGAAAATATTGGAGTATCAGTTTGGTTTTATGTCTGGACACTTAACAACTGAGGTCATTCACCTTCTTAGACAAGTTGTGGAGAAGTATAGAGACACTAAAAAGGATCTCCATTTGGTTTTCATTGACTTAGAAAAGGCATATGATAGGGTACCTCGAGAAGTCCTTTGGTGGGCCTTAACTTGAAAAGGCATATCACGTAAGTATATCAGTATCATCATGGATATGTATGATACTTGAACTACAAGTGTCCGTACTAGTGTACAAGTCCTTTGGGAGGATTGCAAAGTTCCCTATTACTATCAGAGTGCACCAAGGATTGGCTCTGAGTCCTTTCTTATTTGCTATAGTCATGGATGGACTTACGAAATCAATTCAAGAAGATATACCGTGGTGCATGATGTTTTCCAACGATATTGTATTGATTGATGAGACAAAATTGAGTGTTAAAGCAAAGTTGGAAATATGGCGACAAACATTAGAGACCAAGGGTTTCAGACTGAGCCGAAACAAAACTGAGTATATGGAGTGCAAGTTTGGTGGAGGTAGAAGTAGTTGTAATAGTGGGATTACCCTTGATGGCAATGAGATACCAGTGTGTGATATTATCCGTTACTTGGGCTCCATAATTCATGATGGTGAATTAGATGGAGAATGTATCCCATAGAATCAGAGCAAAGTGGATGAAATGGAAGACTGCATCATGATTTCTATGTGATCGAGATATGACGACTAAACTAAAAGGTACTACCTCCGTCCCGAAATAATCGTCCTGGTTTGACCTTCACACATATTAAGAAAGTGAAGTTGACTTCACACTGTAGCGACACTGTTTGGCACTGTTTGATGATTGAGAAGACCCATTTCGGCACTGTTTTGCACGGTTTGACACTGTTTTGTATAGATTTGTTTACCAAATAAGGAAATGAGACAATTATTTCGGGACAGATCGAAAAGGAAAGCAGGACAATTATTTCGGGACGGAGGGAGTATGTTTTATCGGACAACAATTAGGCCTGCATTAATGTATGGCGTGGAGTGTTGGATGATGAAACAGTGTCACATTCAAAAGATGAGTGTGACATAGATGCGTATGTTGCGTTGGATGTGTGAACATACCAGAAAATACCGTTTGAAAATGAAATCATCAGACAAAAGGTGGGAGTAACACCTATAGAAGATAAGATGCAGTAGTCTCGATTGCATTGGTTTGGTCATGTGTGCAGAAGACCAAGTGATGCACATGTGAGACGACTTGAGAGGTGGGGAGAAAATGTGGGGAGAAGAGGCGGGGAGGAGAAGGAGAAGAAGACCCAAACAGACTTGGATTAGAGGAATTAGAACTGATATGCTTCTTCTTGAGTTGGATGAGAGTATCACTTTGGAGAGAGCCAGGTGCCAGGTGGAGAACACAGATTCATGTGGACGATTGATCTCTTTTCTCTCTTTCCTCTCTTTTTCTTTTACCTTTTATTTTCTTTATCTTTCTATGTTCTTATGTTACTTTTTAGGAATCTTATCAATCCGGGACCTGAAAGATAGACGAACTATCAATTCGGGACCTGAAAGATGAAATGTATCGGTATAGGACCCGAATGATGAAAAACTATCAATCTAAGACCCGAATGATTGAAAACTATCAATTTAGGACCTAAGTTTTCATAAATTTTATTATTATTTTTATTTTAAAAAATTTAAATAATATTTAGTTTTATTAAACTAATAAACTTTTGTGAAGAAAATTTCACCAAATATTAGCACTGGAATTAATAAAAAATTAAATAAATCAAAACCTATGAAATGTTAGGTCCTAGATTGATAGTTTTTCATCTTTCGAGTCCTATACGGATACATTTCATCTTTCAAGTCCCGAATTGATAATTCGTCTATCTTTCAGGTCTCGGATCGATAAAATTCCTACTTTTTATATTTCTATGCTCTTTTATCTTTTTATCTTTTATCTTTCTTATGTTCTTATGTTATTTTAATCTTATATTTATCTTTATCTTATCCATTTTATCTTATTTTATCGTTTTATTCTTCTTATCTTTCTTCTCTTTTTTGGCTCTGATATCATGGATCGTTTCATGTTAGCCGACCCCAAAATCTTTTAGGAATAAGGCTTGGATGTTGTAGTTGTTGTCACTCTGGTCTTTTTTGGGCTTTGGCATCTTATTGGTTTAGTTGTCTTCCCTCTGATGATTTGTTGCTTTTAAATACGTTATAACAAAAGGTTGATACCGACATGGTACACCTATAGTTCTATTGGTCTGATTGAACATCATTGTTATTTTTACTCCATATTTTTCACAGTAATTATAGTCTTATGTGTTGACTATTATCTATTGTCTTTGTGTTCTACGGTTAGGGGATGGCCTTGCAATGTTAAGGGCCGAGCTAAAAAGTCAGAGGAAACATGTTAAAAGTTTGAAAAAAAAGTCTCTGTGGTCCAAAATCTTGGAAGAGGTAGCAAGTCAGTGCTTGTTTATATTCTTTTCTTTAATTAAAACTGGCAATTGCACTTCATTGCACTTCCACACACCAAGGACATGGGTTTTTAAAACCATTTGTGTTTAATATGTTATTATCATTCAAAACATTTACAATATATAGATGGTTAACCTACTTCCATCTGATCAAAGATGATCTATACTCTCTTGATTATAGGTAATGGTGAAGCTGGTGGATATAGTGCATTTCCTACATTTGGAGATTCATGCTAGCTCTGGAAGTGTTGGTAATTGATATTGAAAGCAATCTTTTATATTTTTCTTTTGAAGCTGGCATATTTCTGTATAATCTTTTCACATGAGTGGTGGCAAAGTCTATGTACATCCACCCTCCCCAGGCCTTACTTTGAGTGGGTTATACTGGGTATGTTTGATTTAGTTTGGCTTAGGTGGCAAGAGAGTAGCACTTGCTGCTGCTGTTCTACTGTTATTTATGCCTGAGAGAACTTTCTATATATAATATCCCCTAATGAAGCGTCTGTTTTTGTGTTTGCTCCGCCCCTGAATAAGGTCCTCTTTATTTGGTAAGTCTCACTTTACTACCCTCATATAGTCTTCTCATCCACCACCATTAATTACTCGCACACATTACAAAGGAATTTTCAAAGTCAAATGAAAAACTTTTTATGCATTCTAAACCATGGATGTCTAGGTAGGAACTTTAAGGATGGTGAGAGTACTAAAAAGGTCATTGAAGTGTTGGTAGTTTGTCTGAATGCTAAATATATGAAAAGTAGTATATTTTTTCGCGACCAAATCAATGTGCCCACATTCAAGAAAGTTGTCTATTTCTGCACTTTTTTAAGGTGAAGATATGTGTGCTCTGTGCATATATCCTCATCACTTGCCTAAATTTTAGAATCCTTTTATTTTATTACATGTCTTCGGCACTTGGCAGTATCAAAGATAAAATAATCTTTGGGTGCATTGACTTCATTCCAGGTTATGGTCTGTAGGTATTTAAGCAATTTTATTATGAACACTCCCTCCTGGGCAATTAGATCATATTGGTCGCATATAATTTTCTTTGAAGGTGTTATATGTGATTGATTGCTGTCTTATGTTTAAATTTACACCATGCTTTGTCTTACATACTTGTAGATGAGGGCAGACCAATAGAAAACAACCATCTAAGGCTGGGATCTGCAGGTCTTGCATTGCATTATGCAAATCTTATTACTCAGATTGATACACTTGTAAGTATTATATCTGTTTGTCAGTTTGTCTTCTGAAAAACATTTATTTGTATTCCATACTCTTAATTTCCTTTCATCATCCATAACCATTAGCTGTTGTTTAGAACCTTTCATTTAAACAAGGTCTTATAAATAAAGTAAGGAACTTCAAATCTTGCAGTTGCAATTACTTAATTATAAAGTTGTCAATGCCATCAGGTAACCCGGTCATGTTCAGTCCCACCCAATACAAGAGATGGTCTTTATCAGGGTCTGCCCCCAAGCATAAAGTCTGCTTTGCGATTCAAGTTACAATCTTTCCAACTTAAGGAGGAGGTACATCATCTTTTTTACGACCATGAAAAGTGCTCAAAGCTCAAATTAATTTAAACATTGAGTGAAAGAAAACAATTATCCAAATTTTATATTGATATAAAGTTTAAAAAGACTCACAGGTACAAATAATTCCTCTGTTCCGAAATTTTCTTTCCACTTTGAAATGATACACTTATTAATTAAGTGTATGATTTTGGTTGAGGTAGAAAAAGTGAAAGGGTGTTATCACACAAACCATTCTTTAAAAGGAAATGGTAAGAAATTATTGAGACATACCATGATACCCAAAAGGTAAGTGGGAAAAATTATGGGATGGAGGCAGTAAAATATAGTAAAAAAGGATACACTTTCTATGAGTGACCTTCCCTCTCTTGTATATCATTAGTAGGCCTAGTATTGGCGGCAATTGCAACGTTTGATTTAAAAAGGAGCATTTATTTGAATTATTTCTTTTCCCATTTAATGTGTTTTTATTTTTCTCCCCCTTTTGGCTTTTTAATGTCAAATATGTATGACAAATTAAAGTATTGGTGAAAAATGTGACTTTTAATGTGCAGTTAACATTTTGGTACTTCCACATTTACTCGAGTGACCACAGCGATGTTCAATTTTTACACTGCCACAACCTGGGTGGTATTTTTGCTGTTGTGACCATTTAGTCTTTGTTTGCCCATGAGTTTCTTTTACAAATATTTTAGGAAAAACTTATTTCGGTGTTTTTTTTGTTTCTTTTTCTTTTTCTTTTTCTTTGGTTTGTGTGTTGTGTTTGCAGGAAAGCAAACATCATAGTAAAGTAGATAGTAATTCTGATTCCTCATGACTGTTTATGAATGGTGATGATGCAGATGACTGTCCCTCAAATCAAAGCAGAAATGGAGAAAACATTGCAGTGGCTTGTACCTATGGCTACCAATACGACCAAGTAGAACATTTCTCTCTATATAATATCTTGCTTATTTCATATGCACTTGTTGTTTCCAGGTATAAAGAATTGCTTTTATTTCCAGGGCACATCATGGCTTTGGATGGGTTGGAGAATGGGCCAATACGGGGTAACCTCATTTTATGCATGGTTATTCAAACCGATTTGTTCTATTTTGGCCATACAACATATTGTTTTATTATATCTATTTTAGGGGTGAGATGAATCGGAAATGTGGTGGGCAATCTGATCTACTTCGAATAGAGACTTTATATCATGCAGAGAAGGAGAAGACTGAGAATTACATTCTTGAACTTGTGGTTTGGTTGCATCATCTTGTTAGCCACCAGTCAAAATCATCTCCTAATGGGGCAGGGGTTAGATCCCCAATCCGTTCCCCTAATCAGAAGGCAATCCAGCTGTCATGCTATAAACCGAACCACCCTCCGTCTCCGACATTGTCAATCGAAGACCAAGAGATGCTTCGAGATGTAAGCAAGCGGAAGCTGACACCCGGCATCAGTAAGAGTCAGGAATTTGGCATTTCAAAAACCACGACCAGGTTGAGCAAGCACAACCAACGCCTTAGTAAGAGCAGTAGCCATTCGCCTACGACTACGACTGAGATGAAGAAAGATCATTCCTTCTCCATCAGGCGGCCGTTTTCTGTCCCTGTTATAAACTTTGATACTGATCGGATTAAGGCACTGGACATAATTGATAGACTGGACACGTTCCACAACTAGACTTAAGCTTCGATAAGCTCTTGTGGGGAAGAGACCACCGTGGTGAAGAGACCACCGTGGTGAAGAGACATTTCTGCTGCCCGGGTTTTGTACAACCCCACCCCACCCACCAGCATTGTGAAATGGCTTCAAGGTTAGTGATCCCCACCATTGTTTTTGGTTGCAGGCTTAGGTCACTCGATGAGTACAAGTACAAGCCCTGCTGTTTTTTTCCTATTTCTTGAGTTATTTCTCCCATAGGGTGTTGTTGTAGGGTGAAGATATGCACTTCTCAAAATTACTCTCTTACATGTATAGAATGAGAAGTCTTTCCCCTTTAATGTCCCAAAGAAGGTATTTCATCATTTTAAAAAGGTTTTAGTTATGCAAAAGTGCACCTCATCTAATAAGACTAGGAGCAAGTAACCTAACGTTTCATATGTTAGTTTATAGTTTATATTTGCTTACTTTGTGTACATTATTTGTTATGTTTTTGCAATTCCTACTTAAAAAAGTACACGCAAAAAGAGAAATTATGTACTGTCTGAAATATCTATTAGCTGTTTTATACCATATTTTGCTATATGCATGTGACAGACTCTATCTAGAGTACTGGTTTAGATAAGCTTATGAGTAATATGTTTTACAACTTCAAAGACAATCTTATAATTTTAGGAAGGGGAGACTTGACACTTCAGTTATGGTGTTGCTTCCTGATTGATAGATTGGTCTTGAGAATTGCCCTATACACTAGTTGAAGTCTTTCCCTGACTCTTACACCCGGCTGCCCTTTTAATTCCTCTTTTCTTGAACTTAATGAAACATGGTCAACCAAGCATTCCAGCCCAGCGGATTGTGAGGTTACTGTGTCTAGCGGGAGGTCTAAAGTTCGAAACCCTCTAGGCACATAAGGGTTTGAAACTCAATGGAGTGAGTTTCAGTCCTGATTACTCCAGACCCCCCAGACCTCCCCCCAGAACCCTGTAGTAAAAAAAAATGAAACATGGGCAAATGACCATTACAAGAAATGAAATATAGTTCTGATCAAGAACCGTTCCTATAATATAATATCCGAAATGTGCATCCCTATTTAAAATATTAATTATATCTATGAGTGTCCTATAATATCGACGACACATTATGACCATGTCTTTGACTATGCTTCCTTGACTATTGTGTCCTATTGTTTCAAAATATTTCTGGCTAATATTTTATGCTTAAAATAATCCGAAAGACGCTGCAAATATGGTGAGAACTGAGAAGAAACATAAATAAATAAGAAACCAGTCATGTATTAAAGTAGATAAATTGAATGATTTCAATCTGATGTAAATTGGTACTGTATAATGCTTGGATTGAAAATGAAATAAGTTGAATTAAAAATGTCACGATCATTTAAAATACCAGGTCACATCAAATTTGATAATGCGACCCCATGACCAAAAATGACAAAGTAAAATAAAAACACGATATTATCAAGTAATCAATGCGTCTTCATTGTTATGGGATCTTTCGTAAAATAAATTAAGATGCTAAAATGAAGTTAATAATGGTTTAAAGTAATATACTAAATTATGAATTATTTAAAAACCCCGAAAATTAAAATCAGTTAAATCATGAGAAAGTGAGAAACTGTTGAAATTGATAAAATGCTGTTTGAAAATTTGAAATGGTTGGATTGGCTGCATCTACTAGTACTAGTATACTTAAAATATATTTTGAAATATACTAGTATGTTATTAACAAAATTAAAGAAAGTATATGAAAAATGACTAAAATTTATTTATTGTAACTTCAATCTTATTTAACTTCTGCCAATTCAGTCAGAAAAATATCCTCAATCTTATTTATTTTGATTATTACACAATTCAACTCACTAAATAAAAATTTTCTGAATATTTATTTGATAAAATAGTTGACTGATAAACGGAAATATTCTAAACCACAGTCCGCATATCAGTTTGGCGTACCTCACTACCTCCATGACAATTGCACCACCCGGTTCAGAAATTCATCACGCCACCTCACGATGGTCCCGACACCTTGACTGTCACACGACCACGACTTCGACGTTTTGACCCGCCTCCATGCCATGGTGCCGCCAGGCGACCATTAGTCACCAGATGCCCAAACAACCCAATTCGGCCGACCTGACCAATTGTCCGAGACGCCAAGGTTTTGAAGTTTACACTTGATATAATTCAACTTTTTTGGATAAATTTTTAAGATTTCTTTGAATGTTAAATTCAAGGATGAAATTATGTTTCGATAGTGTACCCAGATTTAAAAAAATTCGGAGTGCTGGGTGTAGTCGTATAGGGTTGGACCCGTGTCGGGCCAGGGCCCGGTAGGTCGTGGTACTGAAAAAGTGAAGCCTGGTACGAACCCCGTTTGGTCTGGTACCGGTTCGGCCTGGGCCCAAACAGTAATGGTCCTGGGTCGGGCCGGTCCCAAACAGTAGTGTTCCTGGGTCGGGCCGGTCCCACCCTCTATTTTTTTTTTTCAAAAATTGAAAAAGTAGCGGTTAGGCCTGTACCAGGCACCGACCCGACTGGGCCGGTCCCAAAAAATCAAGCCCAAAGCCTGACCTGTTCTACCCATGGTCCGGGTACCTGGTCGATATCGGTCCCGAATAACTGAACCTGGACGGACTGACACAAACAGTACCGCATCCGGCCCGGGCCCAGTCCATCCCTAACTTTGGATGTTTATTCAAATGATTCGCCACTATTAAATGAAGAATTGTACCAAATAATAGATGAACATGAATTAATTTGACTGATAATCTACATGACCAAGATGTAGATTTTGAACTTTTGGAAGCTGGTCCTAGATTGAGAAAAAAATTGTTGATTTCCATCCTAATATTCAAGACGAGATGCGCCGTAATTACCTTAATATTTTGTGCGTTATTACTATCTTAATATTTTGATGATGTACGTTAAATATGAAATATTAATTATGTCTCTTTAATATTTTACTTCTTCCTTTCTTTAATATTGTTCTGTTTATCTTAATTAGTAGTGTTCTCGGGTCGGGCCGGTCTCCCTCCGTCCCGGAATTATCTTCATACTTTCTTTTTCGGTCTGTCCGAAATTTATCTCCTCTTTCCTTTTTTAGCAAAGAATTTGTGGTTCACAATCATTCTTACACTGCACATTCTTACACATTTCTCTTTACTCTGCACAACTCTCCACCACACATTTCTCACTATCTTAATCCGTGTGCCATTTGTACTTCAGGAGATAAATATGGGACGAAGGGAGTACTTAAATGGCAGGGTCTTGTGCTTGCAATAACAACAGAGCCTGTTTGGCGATTTTTACCCATATGAGCACGTATGTGATTGATTATTAATTTTCTCTTATGTACTTTTAAGGAATGACTTACTTAAAACTTAATTGCACGATGTAGGAATATCACTACAAAAACATTTCGGGATTGACACGGATTGATCGATAATTTCATGCCAAATAGCTCATGTCAAAATGTTTGTAGCACAAATTTGGCATATCCCTGTCAAATCTCTATGAATTTTAGCGTATTCCTGTCAAATATCTTTGTCAATCGTGTATTTTTTGTAATGTATACTCTATATGCCTCGAAAAATCTTCCCAATTTGACTTTATGTGCTTGTTAAAAATGTGAGAATAAAGTTGAAAATATAACCTTGTAATAAAGTTGAAAATATACCCTTGTAATATATCCTTCAACTTTTACCATCCACAAGCTTTTAAAATTTTGACATAAAACCTTGCACATTCCCGTGAATACTGAATCAAAAATACTACTCCATCCGTCTCGGAATTATCTTCATTCTTTCCTTTTCGGTCCGTCCCAAATTTACCTTCTTTTTCCCTTTTTGGTAAAGAATATGTGGTTCACAACCATTCTTACACATTTCTCTCTCCTCTGCATAACTATCCACCACACAAATTCCACTATCTTAAAACCCGTGTCCGGTCAAAACCGGAGTTAAATATGGGACGGAGGGAGTATTTGTATCCACTTATACCCATTTTTATATCCACCATGTTTGTGCAAGGCTTTTTTTGTGTGTGAAACTCGTTCACAGACAAAATATATCCGTGCAAATTTTGCATAGACAAAATAAAACATACATACTCCCTCCATTCCTATTAAAATTTCCAAATAGGTTTGGCACACAGTTTAAGATAGTGGGTATTGTGTGGTGGAGAGTTGTGCAGAGGAGAGAGAAATGTGTAAGAAATGTTGTGAACCACAAATTCTTTACTAAAAAGAGAAAGTGGAAGTTTTAATTGGAACGGACGAAAAAGGAAAGTTGGAAGTTTATTTAGGAATAGAGGGAGTATTTTGTTTGTGAATTGGATTTATCGAAAAAAAAAATCTTCACATACATGATGGATATAAGGTGAGTATAAAAATGGATAAAACATTAATTTTCCGAATACACCACTTGAAAAATAATTAAGATTTTTTTGGGATGACCAATATTTGTTTGTTTGACTAAGAACTCAACTCGAACACTCAAGCCAGCCCAATTGATTGTCTATCTTTAAGCGAGTTTGATTAGCTCTGTACCAACCACCTCTCCCACACTATATAGAATCTTGCTCTGTCACCTTGTATATTCTCTGTAGTACTCTCTTAACCTTCACCTCTCATGAAATAATATCAGAAATGGAGGTGGGCTCCATTACCAACGGCGAACACAAGTCCTCCTTGCAAGTGGATCAAGATTCGCCGTCGGCGGCGGCGGTGGCGGCGCCAATATGGAAGATGGTACTAGTGGCGTCCATTGGCACCGGCCTCCAGTTCGGGTGGGCCCTACAGTTCTCTCTCCTCACCCCATACGTCCAGCTCCTCGGAGTGCCCCACAAGTTCGCCTCCTTCATGTGGCTCTGCGGCCCCATCTCCGGCATCATCGTACAGCCGCTCGCCGGCCACTACAGCGACAACTGTACTAACCGATTCGGCCGCCGCCGCCCCTTTATTGCTTCTGGCGCCGTGCTCGTTGTTCTCGCCGTCTTCCTCATCGGCTTCGCGGCTGATATGGGCCACGCCGCCGGCGACCGCCTTGGGAAAACCACCAAGCCCCGCGCCATAACGGTTTTTGCCGTCGGTTTTTGGACGCTCGATGTCGCTAATAATATGTTACAGGTACGCCGCAACAGTTTTTACGTGTCCGCATTTATAGGAAATTCTTTCTTTTTTAATTGGGTGATAATATAATACTCCCTCCGTCCCTAAATTATCTTCAAACTTTCCTTTTTCGTCCGTCCCAAAATTATCTCCTCTTCTCCCTTTTATCAAAAAATTTGTGGTTCACAACCATTCTTACACATTCTTACACATTTCTCTTTCCTCTGCACAAATCTCCACCACACAAATCTCACTATCTTAATAAATGTGCCCAGCTGAAAAGGGAGAAAGATTAGGGACGGAGGGAGTACTTCCTTCCCTTGAAGCTTTAAAAAGTTTAATTGATAAAATAAAATCATGTGGTTGAAATTTACGTAGAAGAGAAAGAATTAACTGGAGCCACAAATTCTTTACTTAAAAGAAAAAGCGACAAAGTTAGTGGAACATCCAAAAAGAATGTTTTTAAAGTTTTGAGGGACGAAGAGTAGTCTACATTATCCTTTTTTTACAACAAGGCTTTATGCATCATTCTTATATTCACCTTATATTCATCTAAAAATAACTTCATTTTATTTACTCTAATTTTTTCGTTTGTGAAATTAAAAGTTTAGTACCAAATTCGGCTGTACATGGATGAAACAAATTCATTTACTTGGCTTGCAGTAATTCTTTTTACTCATATACTCCCTTCGGTCTGAAAGATCTTTACACTTTCCATTTTTAGCAGTACTTGAAAGATTTTTACACTTCCTTATTTGCCTTATTTGGCAAATAAATCTACACAAAACCGTGCAAAACAGTGCCAAACAGTGTTTATTTCCTTAAAACTGTGAAGTTAAAGTGTCAAGATCTTTTGGAACCGGAGGAAGTAGTTAATTTAATTATGAATATAAACCAGTTCAATCACTTAATTTCAATTCTAGTTGGATGGAATTAGAAATAGGGACACATGACTTTGTCCCAATGGGCAACCATATAATAGGCTCTTTTTTATAGAAAAAGGAAAATCACTAGGTTGTGACAAGAAGTTATAAAATTTCTCTCTTTTTTATGAGTGCTTTATTTTCTCTTAAATATATAAAAACTACTGAATATTAAAGTTATATTCTTATATTTTGACATCATAGAAATTAATGTGACAATATATTCTACCACATCAATAACGAGTTATATTTAAAGAGATAATTTTACATCGTAGTATTTTTATTTTCGAATTGACATAATTTTACATATTCAGGGGAAAATTCATTTATGATAATCTATTTTTAATCCGATGGACTGCTATTATGGCAGCATGGTGCTGCGGTATGTACTATTTTATCACTTTGTTTCAAAATTCTTAATTTTCCACTTAATTCTCGGGTTAAATGCCAAACCCCCTCGTGAAATATAAATTCGGTGCATGCGCTGAATTTATATTTCACGAAGAGTTTGGTGTTTTAAACCCCTTAATTCTCTATGCTATTTTTAGAATGCATTTGTATTTCTTGAAATCCGGCCAAGTAGCAATAATAAAATCTGCTACAGCATGACCCAATTATTTGATGAAATAGATCCGAAGTACAATTTCTTTAATCAATTAATGGGCCGAGTTATAAAAAAGTCATCCCACTCGATTGCAATAATGAAGTGTGAGTTGGTACAAGGATGTGACCCGCTAACCTTACTAAAATCATCTTATACTAAATTTAATAAACTTCAAAATCATTTCATACTAAATTTAATAAACTTCAAAATCATTTCATACTAAATTTAATAAATGTAGTGTAATTTTCTAAATTATTCTTATTTTATGAGATGGAGGTAGTAGCGTTGTTTGTTTATTAGCGTTTTGGTCCATTAAAATAATGCCGTTTTGCCCAAAACACTGGTATCCAAACACCACCGGTGAATGTCTACACTACCTGTTTTGTTTTTGGATAAATTGGTACGGTCAACTTAGGTGAATTTAATAAAATTATGGCTGAAGTGTCTGGATTGGTTGAATATCTTAAATTTTAAGAAAATACATTAAAAATATATTTATCAAAAACATATAAAAAAACTAAAAACAACTATAATAGTTTTCTACATTAAATTCAACCACTTCAATTATAAATGTAACTTAACCTTACTTATTTTAATTAGACACACATACAATTAGCGCGTGAAATCAAAACGTGTGTATTTGGTTAAAAACAGATGATAAAAACTAATAATTTGAAAATATAATTTAGCAAACGGGCTTTTGTTCAATCCAATTGTTAATGTTAAATATGGCATGTGAGTTAATTAATCACATATTCCGTATGGCATGTGAGTTAATTAATCACATATTCCGTTTGAAAAACACTTAAAATACTAGTTGTTGAGTCAATTGGATTTTAGTCAAATTTTCAAATTGTATTGAACTGTTCACACAATAATTAGATATCTTTTATTTTATAAATAATAATAATTAGATACAAAAATTCAAAATGCATTTATGTCGAACTACATGTGTAGACCCACTCAAACATATTAAAGCTTTTTTTTTATTACTGAATGGATCATGACCATAAAAATATGTCGGAGTAATATTTGGTGTGCCTATAAGCAGGTGCGGTACTGACATCTTAGGGCCCCGGGACAATACATAAAGGCCTTGTTTGGTAAATGGTTGTTAGCTGTTGCTGGTAGTTGGTTGTGTCAGCTGTTTCGCAACAGCTGGTTGTGTTAGCTGTTTTGACCGACTGGTTATGTTGGCTGATTATAAATAACTGTTTGGTAAAATTGGCTCTTTCGAAATGGCTGATAGAGTGTAAATTGAACCAGCCAAATGAAGAAGCTGCTCCCCTTAGCTTCTTCCACAATCCATTTTTTCAGCTTTTCAAACTCAACAAGCTAATTTTAAAAGCCATTTACCAAACATTATTATTAGCTTCTTTGACTAATCAAATAGTTGAAATGGGTCAAACAAGCTAAAAGCTGGCTGATAAGCCATTTGCCAAACATACCCAAAGAGTGGGTTAAGAGACGGGGTGTGTAAACGTTTATAATTTTGTTTTGTTATAAAAATATATTAGTAAAATCAAGCGATCCATATGAGTATAACACATCAAAAAAATCAATAAAGCAGTCAATTAAAAAAATTATATTAAAGTATTTGATATGTGACATTCGAGGATACAATAAACCTAATTAAAAAGAATAAAACAAGTAGTACAAATTGAGAGAACCCACGAACTATATTTCATGCAATATCAATGGAGAGAACGCAGCTTTCATATATGATAAATTTTGATAAAGAACGAGGAAAAACCGTCTTACCCTAACCAGGCTCTCGTACCTCTTTATATAGTAGAAGTAGGAATAGAGGTTATGGTAACTGGATTAAAAAACCTCCACACACACCCACATGCACACGTAACCCACTAACTTTACATGATTTACCTAATATCTAATAATAAAGGTAATTATGAATAATAAAAACAAGGTTAACTAACATTCACCCCCTTAAACTTGTTTCCCATACTTCGTATGTTGCACTCCAATTCTGCCTCTGAGTTCAGTAAACCTCTGCCTTCCCAAGGGTTTTGTCAAAATGTCTGCATACTGCATTTCTGTTCTTGTATACTAGAGCTCAATGATCCCCTTTTCAACACACTCTTATGAAATGAAAACGGGTATCGGTGTGTTTACTTCGCTCATGATGCACAAGATTGTTGGCCAATGCTATGGCAGATTTGTTGTCCACTTTCAATACTGGTTTCATCTTCTTCTTTCCTTGCAAACTTCCTATCAACTTAACAAGCTAAATCCCTTGGCAAGCTCCCCCTGTTGCAGCTATATTCTTTGCCTCACAGGAAGATAAAGCCACAATCTTCTGTTTCTGGGATACCCATGTTATGGGGTTATTTCCTAAGAAAAATAAGATCCCTGTGGTGCTCTTCCTGTCATCTACATCTCCAGCAAGATCACTGTCACAGTAGCCAATCAAAGTGTCATTTTCTTCCCCACTCTTGAAAATACATCCCATGTCACATGTTCCTTTTATGTATCTTAATATTTGTCTTACCGCATTCATATGGGCTGTTGTTAGAGCTTCCATATATCTGCTAACTATCCCCACTGAATAAGCCAAGTCAGGCCTGGAATGAACCAAATTAAATATCTTGGACTCCCAACAATGCTCCTGTATAGAGTAGGATCTACTGGCTTGCTTTCATCAAATCTGCTTAGTTTGCATCTTGGTTCCATGGGTATGCTACAAGGATTACAGTCTGTCATGCCCATTAGGTCCACAATTCTCTTTGCATAGCCTGATTGTGTCAATTTTATGACTCCATTGCCCTGTGTCACTTCCAATCCAAGATAATAGCTTAGTAACCCCAAGTCACTCATCTCAAATTGGTTCATCATCTCTTTCTTGAATCCCTGTATGACCTTGGTGCTGGATCCAGTGAGGAATAGATCATCCACACACACACCTACTGTCAGAATATATTTTCCTGCATTCTTTGTGTACACTGCATGCTCAAACACACAACTTTTAAACCCCAAAGTCTTCAGACACTTGTCTAGTTTCTCATTCCAAGCTCTCGGAGCTTGTTTCAAACCATATAGAGCCTCGTGTAGTTTAAGTACCTTGTTAGGATGTATCTTGTCAACATATCCCTCTGGCTGCTCAACATATACCTCCTCCTTTAGTTCCCCATTTAAAAAAGCAGTCTTCACATCCATGTGATGTATTTGCCACTGTCTCCATTCTTGCTACTGGGGGCAAATACTTCCAGATACTCCACCTCATACCTCTGAACATAACCTTTAGCAACAAGTCTAGCCTTATGCTTGGTAACATTTTCCTCAGGGTCTTTCTTCACCTTGAAGATCCATTTCAATCTAATGGCTTTGTGGTTTTCTGGAAGATCTGCAAGTTCCCAGGTCTTATTCTTCTGGATGGATTCCAGTTCTATTTCCATTGCCTTTCTCCATTCTTCCTTACATGCTGCTTCCTCAAAGTTTTCTGGTTCTTCTATAGCTAAGAAATACAAGCTCACTTCTTCAGTAACCTCCCTAGTAGCATCATATATCTCCTGTAGGGATCTGTAATTTAGAGGCTCATCACTTGAAATAGAATCATCATGTGAATCAGTTGTTTCCTCAGAAGTATTTTGGTACATGTGACTTGTATTTTTACCCCCTTCTTCTTCTTCTTCTTCTTCTTCTTCTTCTTCTAGGTTTTGCATGTGATGATCTCTTCTAGCTTCTGAATTTTCCTTACTTATGCATGCTGCATAAGTACCTTCTACCGGCTCTAGCTCTTCTTCACCTTTTGTTTTCCATTCCCATTGCTCATTTTCTTCAAACTCTACATCCCTGCTGATCAACACCTTGCCACTCAATGGATCTACCAGTCTATATGCTTTTGTACCATCTTCATACCCAAGCAATACTCCTTTGATGCTTCTGTCCTCTAATTTATGTAAGTGAGGTGACACTGTCTTGATATGAGCTACACATCCAAACACACGCAGGTGACTGACATTTGGAACCCTATCATACCAGGCTTGATAGGGTGTGTTGCCATCCAAACTGCTTGTCAGGGATCTATTTAATATGTAAACAGCCGTACTTACTGCCTCACCCCAGAGTCTTCCAGGTACTGATTTGCTCTTCAACATGCACCTTACCATCTCCATGATGGTTTGGTTTCTCCTCTCTATCACCCCATTCTGTCGGGGTGAATAGGGTGCAGTAAGATGTCTCTTTATCCCTTCATGTTCTAAGACACTTCAGCTTTTTTCATGCCTCTGCTTCAATCTTAGGCTTGACCCTCTTGAAAGCCTCAAAAGCTTCCCCTTTATGTTTAAGTAAAGACACCCACATGTAACGTGAGAAGTCATCTACCAAAAACATGAAATAATTCTTGCCTCCGGATGTAGAAGGTTTGAGTGGTCCACATATGTCACAATGAATCAATTCTAACTTCTCTTGTGCCCTAAATATTGCTCTTAGTTTTCCTATTAGACAACCATCATAGAGTTGATTGACCTGCCTTATTCTAGGCATTCCTTCCACCATTTCTCTGCTAGTCATCCTGCTTAGTGCTTGGAAGTTAGGTATCCAAACCTTGCATGCCAGAGCCAACTAGTGTCTGATATCTTGGATAAAAGACATGCCTTTTGAGCTATCTTAAAATTGACCAGGAATAGCTTGTTATGTTTCTTATCAACCTTAAAGATCAGCTTATCAGTGTTATCAAAAACACTCAAAATTCCTCCCTTTAAGATTACTTGTCCTCCTGACTCATCTAACTGACCCACACTGATAATATTACTCTTAAGCTTAGGTATGTAATACACATTTTGCAGGATCATGTGTTTACCTGATTTACTCTGAAACAATACAGTCCCTAAGCCCATTATGTTGATCATAGAATTGTCTCCAAACCTCACCTTGCCTTGAACTGAGGTGTCTAAGTTTGTAAAATAGAATTTTCCTCCAGTCATGTGATTGCTAGCCCCTGTGTCTAGATACCACCAAGTATCTGTGCTCTTCTCTTCCTTTTCTTCAGTTTTATCTGCTGCATTTTGAGATACATGTGATTTAGTTAATTCACAAGTCTCAATCATCATTAATGAGGGTTCCTCATCTTCTTCTTGTAAGGTTAGATTTATCTCTTCCTCTTTCTCACTTGATAGACATTCTGAAGCAAAATGACCCATCTTCCCACAGGAAAAACATTGGATCTTTGATTTATCAAACTTCTTCTTTTGTTGTGGGTGATCTTCTTCATTTCTTGATCTCCCATATCCTCTACCTCTGCCTCTTCCTCTTCCTCTAGAGTTGCTTTGTTCTCTAAAAGTGTTGTTTTGTGATTTAGACTCCTCCCTTGACTTCCATTCTGCCCGGGTCAGCAACACTGTTTCTTCATTTGAATTAGTTTTTCCTTGGAATCTTTCCTCATGAGCTTTAAGTGAACCTATGATTTCTTCAGAGGTTTTGACCTTTAAGTCACAGAATTCTTCTATGGTGGATGCCAATTGTAGGAACTTTGGTGATGCTCCTATGAGCAGTTTCTTCACGACCTTTTCTTCTTCTACTACATTGCCAAGGCCCCTCAATTTGCTCACAATAATCTGAATCCTCCCTGAGAAATCATCTACTGTGTCTCCATCACTCATTTGCATCCCTTCAAATTCCTTTAGTAGGGATTGAGTACGAACCTCTTTTACTCTTTCTGCTTCTAGATGCATGGTACTTTAAATATTCCACACCTCCTTGGCTGATCTTTTTGCTCCAAGTTGCAAGAGAGTATCTTCGCCTATACCTTGATAGATAGCAGCCAATGCCATTTTGTCTTTCCTTTTGTCAACTGGCTCATTGGTTTCTATAGCATCCCATACTCCTTGGGCTATCACGAAAACCTCCATCTTGATAGCTCACACTGCATAGTTGGTTCTTGTAAGCATGGGATATTTTAAGGTAACCGTTCCTTCCTTTTCTTGGTACCTTGTGTGTTCTTCTTCTTCATGCTGGAAAAGGTTTTCTCCAAGACCTTCACTCGTGGACGAGGATGATGATTGCATGTTGATGGATCGTGTCTAACCATGGAGCTCTGATACTATTTGTTTGCAATATAAACAAACCTACGAACTATATTTCATGCAATATCAATGGGGAGAACGTAGCTTTCATATATGATAAATTTTGATAAAGAACAAGGAGGAAAAACCGTCTTACCCTAACCAGGCTCTCGTACCTCTTTATATAGTAGAAGTAAGAATAACAGTTATGGTAAGTGGATTAAAAAACCTCCACACCCACCCACATGCACACGTAACCCACTAACTTTACATGAATTACCTAATATCTAATAATAAAGGTAATTATGAATAATAAAAACAAGTTTAACTAACATATTTTAGTTCAAATCTTTCACTTCAATGGATATGGATTTGAAGAAATGGAGTGGTGAGATTGGGATTTTGTACAGACATGTTCTTCGAGAAGCCAACTGGTCGGCTCACCATATTTCCAGATTATTTAATGTTGGATCTGATTTTGCTGTAATCCCGTCGCTTAGTGGGCTTCCTGGTCATGTTCGCAGATCAATCGTTGCAGACAAACTGGACTTATCTTTCTTCCGGCATTCTTAGGCCTATTTTGTTATGTTTTAATTTTAGTTTTGAATATTATATTCATGTTTTATTTCTCGGGTTTGGTCTAGCCCCCCGAGTTGATGTAATTTAATTAATCTGATGCTCTTCAATAAAATCCGGTAAATGTTCCCCGACATTTACCCCACTTATTTTGGTGGTTTCCCTACCGGGTTAAAAAAAAATCTTTCACTTCAATTAGAGAACCAGAGAAAATTAGCGACATATATCAATGAGTCTTGAATATAAATGAGAGAAGTAGACCAACATAACATTTATGACTACCCATAATGAATCAAAAGAGATGACGAAATATGTTCTTAAAAATTCTAAAAAATGCGGACATTTAAAAAATGAATTGAAAGTATCTAAAAAATTATAAATTTGATTTTATTTTTTAATTATTATAGAATTTTAATGTATATATAATTTATATATATATATATATATGTGTGTGTGTGTGTGCGTGTGTGTGTGTCTATATAGGGGAGAGTTCAAATACAAAGGTCTTCCCATGCAAAGTGAGAATAAATCTCATGCGTTGATTTCCACATTTAATGGTTCAAAATGAGCCAAGAATGCACTAAATTTGATCAAAAACGCGGTGGCAAATTCATAAATAAATTGATGTTTTTTGTTTTCGTGAAAAAGTGAAACAGAAACATGCAATAGTGCAACGCGGTGAGGAAAAAGTGCAGTCATTTACACGAGAGCGCCTCCTTTTATTTGAACTCTGCCCTACACACACACACACACACATAGAGAAATATTCCTGTCCGGAATTCCGGACAAAAACCGTAGTCCGGACTGCGGAGTTTCGGCCTCTTTCAGGTCGACTTTTTTGATGAAATTTTTATGACATGTTCTTCATCAAGTCTAGTTTATCCACAAAAATATTCAGCTAAAAATTCAACCGGGAAGGTTGTCAAATAATTTTTGGAAGTTAATCGCGTTTTATATGTATATTTTGGCATAGTTATCTTCCAAGAATAATTTGAGTACCTTTCTGATTGAATTTTTAGCTGATATTTTGATGGAGAATATGTCATAAAAATTTCTGCAAAAACTTTCACTAGAAAGGACCCCAAATGCCGCCGTCCAGACGGCCCCAAGTGACGCCGTGCTGATCGAAAGAGTACTTTATACATACATAAGTGTGTGTGTGTGTGTATATATATATATATATATATATATATATATATATATATATATGAGAAATTATGGGTTCTAGTAGAGCAATGAGTTCTGGTTGCATGTCCTCTTGCCCATGTCCCTATAAAGACCTTTATCAAGACAACCTTACCAATGAGTCCGGTGGTGATAGGACAAGGGAGGTGGTGGCTAAGATATTTTTGTCCAATCAAAAAAGGTCATATTTTGGCAATTTTAACGCTATTACTCTTATTTGTGATTTTTGACAATTCTTTTTTAGTTCTATTTTGAGAATTCAATCAATAAAATATACTTAGCCTTGTTTTTTCACTTTGGATATAATTTGGGGATCAATTTCTCTATGTCTCACTATATCCTTACATTAATGGTCATTTTTAGGGGCCATGCAGGGCATTACTGGCAGACCTCTCCGGTGACAGCGGCGACAAAATGCGACTGGCAAACGCTCTTTATACCTTTTTTGCTGCTATCGGAAGCATCCTTGGCTATGCCGCCGGCTCCTACTCTAGCCTCCACAAAGTCTTCCCTTTCTCGTTGACCAAAGCTTGCGACCTTTATTGCGCCAATCTCAAGAGCGCTTTCTTCATCTCCATTTCCCTCTTGCTGATCGTAACCACCTTCGCGCTCATTTGCGTCGACGAGAAACCGCTCAGAAAAGATAGCGCCGGTGACGGCGGCAGCCCGGAAGTAAAGAAAAAGTTGAAAGTGCCCTTCTTCGGGGAAATGTTCTGCGCCTTGAAAGACCTTCCAAGGTCGATGTGGATACTCTTAATGGTGTGTGCCCTCGCCTCCACGGCGTGGTTCCCTTTCTTGCTGTACGACACGGATTGGATGGCGAAGGAGGTTTACGGCGGCAAAGTCGGCGACAAAGTTTACGCTAGAGGCGTGCATGCCGGCGCGTTGGCGCTCATGCTCAACGCGGTGGTTTCTGGTTTCGCGTCCATTGGGCTGGAGCTACTGGCTCGGCGGCTCGGCGGAGTAAAGAAGATATGGGGCGGTAGTAGCTTTATGTTGTCCATCTGCTTGTCCATGACAGTTTTGGTCACCAAAATGGCGGAGCGTAACCGTCGGCACGACCCCAAAGGCAACATTCTTCCGCCGCCCGCCGGTGTGAGAGCCGGCGCCTTTCTTGTTTTTTCTGTGCTCGGAGTGCCTTCTGCGGTAAATTCCTTTCATCGCTTTCTCGTATGGACAGATATTATCAAGAGAATATTACTGCTACTAAAATAGTTTGAAAATTTCAAAATAAGGCTGTCTTAATTTTATTTTTAAAATAGGACTAATTATTGCCATGTTTAGAAAATACTGTCATGTTTGAATCTGGTAGTGTCAAAACATGACAATAATTAGTCCTATTTTGAGGGGTTAAATGCACCAAACCCCCTCGTGAAATATTAATTCGGCGTATTAGTCCCCTGTGATTTTAAAAATGTGTCAAAACCTCTTGTGTTTTAATTAATTATGCGCAAAACCCCCTTCAAGAACAAATTTTATAATTTTGAAATCACTTTTTTTAATAATATGGTTGAATATGCAAGTAACTTTATCAAAATTTCTAAATTATACAAAAAAATAATCATTTTTCATTTTTTGGAAATTAAATTTGTTCTTGGAGGGGGTTTGATGCATGATTAATGATAACACAGGGGGATTTGACGCATTTTTTAAATCACAGGGGGCTAATGGGCCGAATTTATATTTCACGAGGGGATATGATGCATTAAACCCTATTTTGAGAATAAAAACATGACAGTAATTAATCATATTTTGGGAATAAAAAACATGACAGTCCTATTTTAGGATTTTCAAACTGCTTTAGTCCTATTTCGGGAAGTTTCCCTATTATCATTAGTTTTAATTGGACGAGTTTCATTTGTATATTAGATTAGATTAGGCTTAAAAAAGATTACCTCAAAATTATACTAGTATTACATTAAATAAGATTAGACTTGGACAATTACAAAATCTCTACAAACATCTATCAGATCAGCTAAACCAGTTCAGAACTTCAGACTAAACCAAATCAGTTTCCAGACCATCTAATTTGTACTCCCTCCGTCCTACAATGAACTTCACAGTTTGACCTACACACATATTAAGGAAATAAACTTATCATGGGGTAAATTTTAGTGTTTTGACACTGTTTCGACATTGTTTGACATTGTTTCGACATTGTTTGACACTGTTTTGCACTGTTTGACACTGTTTTGATGTAGATTAACTTGTCATTTAAGAAAATAAGAACTTGTTTATGGGATATCCAAAAAAGGAAAAGGCGACGAAGGGAGTATCTAATTAAAACACCCTTTATGTTGTAATTCTATCATATTATTTAAGTCTTTTTCATCGGAAAATGCACTTCTATAAAAGGTGTATTAGAAAAGACACCGCCGCTCTCAAACTTCTCACTAGAGGGTGTATCTTTCCATTAAAAAAAGTGAATAAATTTATTAATTACACGACTAAGTATCGTGCACAAAAAAAAGTACAGGACTAAATCTTACAAGGTACGGAGTATATTTTTCTCCTGTCTTAAACATCTTCGCCAAAGTGAAAACATTATAAAGGCCAAGCTTGTAAGAAAACAACTAAATCTTAAATGACCAAATCTTACGGGATATATTTTACTTCCTCCCTTCCATTCTAGATTGTCACTTTCCTTTTCTAGATGTCACATAAAAAGTACTTTTTTTAATTTTTTAAAATAATTAACACTCTTAAATGATAATTTAATCATGAAATATTAAAAATAATACATTTATAATATCACAATTATCATCAATGACTATATTATATTATATATTCATCAAAATTATTTTCTCAAAATATGCTCGATTAACCTTATTTAATTATTGTCTAAATAATCATGCTAGTTTACAATGAGAACGGAGGTAGTACTTCGTAAATCCTTTAATTTTTAACTGCTTCCAAACATTTCAAATGTAATTTAAGATGAAAAGAGTATTGTGATCCAAGAAAATTATTTGAGGACGAAAAAACATAATGGAAGTCATATTATTAAGGGAAAAGTATAGAAAAGTTATCTGTGGTTGGGTTGATTTTCAGATATGAGTCTGTGTTTCATTTCTTAATAAAGTAGGTCACATGCTTTAGTTTCATTATCACATGAGGGAACCGGCGCGTAACGCCATTAGAAATTGTCGTATGAAGACGATAACCAATAACTCCGATTATAAAAAGTGTTCGAAAAATTAAAAGAAAAATATTGGGAGGCTAGAAAACACCTTGTCAAGAAGACCTCCAAACCATCTCCTTCTTTGATGTTTTCAAATCTGTTTGGTTTATATTTTTTAAAACGAATTCGCTAATATCACTTTTCAACGGACTTTCTGGTGACAATGATGGCTGGAATAAAAAAAGAAAGTTGGTCTAAAGTTCGCTTTGATGAGCCACACCTTCCTATATTTTTTTTTTTATTTTTTCGAGCACGTTTGAAAATCGGAGTTAATGTTCATCATATTCCTTCAGGAATTTGTAACGGCGTTAAGTGTCACACTCCTCTAGTAAACACATGACGTACTTGTTAAGAAACACAACACAAACCCCTATCTAAAAACGGGTCCAATCACATGTACCTTTTCTGTATTTTCTATAATTAAATATGGTTTGACATATTTAATATAGTACTGTGTAATTGGTACTTTATAATATAATGAAGATTGGTCAGTAAAATCATTTGACTTTGTACCTCACTCTTTCACAATTTAGTACACACTTAAATAATTTTAAAAATGAGGTGTAAAATCAAATATCATCCAAAATATGAGGTGTAAGAATGGTGATAAGAATGCTAAGGTTGCTAGGTCGTCGCCCGGAAGCGGCGCGTCATTCCATCGCCCGGGGATGATGTCAAATATGCAAAGGCATGGTGGTTTCTGAGATGGGGCTAAGAACAGAAGGTGGAGTGCTAGATTGCGTTTTGGGACATGGAATGCTGAGTCTCTTACAGGCAGATCTTCCGAGGTAGTCGAGGTTATGAGGAGAAGGAATATCAGTATTATGTGTGTGCAAGAAACTAAATGGGTTGGAGAGAAAGCACGAGAGATTAATCCCGGAGGTTTTAAGTTGTGGTATTAGGGGAGAGATAAGACCAGAAATGGGGTAGACATTATTGTGGCACGTGACTATGTTGAGGATGTGGTAGAAGTCTTCAGGAAGAACGATCGCATCATGAACATTAAATTGGTGATAAGGGGTGAGATTGTGTCTGTGGTAAGTGCCTATGCACCATAAGTGAGATTGGATGCATCTACAACTCAACAGTTCTGGGAAGATCTTGAAGATGTGATGTGACGAGTGCCAAGGGAGAGAAGTTGATAATAGGAGGTGACCTCAACGGGCATGTGGGCTCGAGTCGTGATGGCTTTGAGAGTATTCATGGCGGACGTGATTTTGGCACTAGGAATGAGGCGGGAAAGAACATTTTGGATTTTGCCTTGACGTATGAGTCGGTTATAATGAACACTTGGTTTAAGAAAAGAGACTATCACCTTGTAACCTATAAAAGTGGAGCTAATAGTACTCAAATTGACCACTTCTTAGTACGGACCACTTGCAGAACTAGCTTCACTGATGGTAAGGTTATTCCAGGTGAGAGTGTTGTCACTCAGCATAGGATGCTTGTGCTTGACTTTCGAGGTAAGAACCATAGAAGACAAGTTAAACAATAAGTGGAGCCAAATATAAAGTGTCGGAGGCTTGAGGGAGATCTTCAACAAAGTTTTACACACAAAATGGTCGGTGAAGATGTACGGCGTATTGATAATGAAACACATGTGGATGATATATGGTTATCAATGGAGTTAACCATTAACAAAGTGTCAAAAGAGGTACTTGGAGAATCTAAAGAATGTCTGCCACCTAAAAGGACACGTCTTGGTGGAATGATGAGGTGAAACAAGTCATAAGGAACAAAAGAGATTGCTACAAAATGTTGGGGACAAGTTGGAGTGATGAGAACATAGAAGCATGCATGGATGCTAAAAGACAAACAAAGAAAGCCGTAAGGGAAGCACGGGGGAAAGTGAACAAGGAGTTGTATGAAAAGTTGGACTCTAAGGAAGGAGAACTAGATATTTATAGACTTGTTCGTCTTCATGATCGCAGGACAAGATATTGCAAAAGTTAAGTGTGTGAAGGATATCGATCAGAAGATATTAATGGACGACAGAGAGTTAAAAGAGAGGTGGAGGTCATACTTTGATACACTATTCAACGGGAACAATTCGCAAGATATCGGTGATTTGTCCATACCAGATTGTATGGTAAATCGTGATTTTGTGAGAAGGATCCAAACAACGGAAGTTAAAGAAGCTCTGAGGAAGATGGGACGGAGAAAGCAGTGGGTCCAGATGACATACCGATCGAGGCTTGGAGAAGTTTGGGAGAGAGAGGCGTTGAGTGGTTAACAAGTTTCTTCAACATGATCTGGAGAAACAACAAGATGCCAACGAGTTGGAGGAAGAGTACTGTTATCCCTTTAGTTAAGAATAAATGTGATGTACAAGAATGTGCCAACTATCGAAGGATTAAGCTTATGAGTCACACCATGAAACTTTGGGAGCACGTGATATGCCTTTTCTAGTTAAGGCCCACCAAAGAATTTCTTCGGCAACTTATGGAGAAGTATAGAGACGCTCATAAGGATCTGCATTTGGTGTTCATTGACTTAGAAAAGGCATATGATAAGGTACCTCGAGAAATTCTTTGGTGGGCCTTAACTAGAAAAGGCATATCACGCAAGTATATTAGCATCATCATGGATATGTATGATGATTGTACTACAAGTTTCTGTACTAGTGTAGGGAGGACTGAAGAGTTCCCTATTACTATCGGGTGCACCAAGGATCAGCTCTGAGCCCTTTCTTATTTACCATAGTCATGGATGAACTTACGAAGTCAATTCAAGAAGATATACCGTGGTGCATGATGTTTGCTGACGATATTGTATTGATTGATGAGACGCAATCAGGTCTTAAAGCAACGTTGGAAGTATGGCGACAAACATTGGAGAATAAGGGTTTCAAACTAAGTCGGAGCAAGACAGAGTACATGGAGTGCAAGTTTGATGGAGGTAGAAGCAGTGGTAATAGCGGAATTACTCTGGATGGTAAGGAGATACCAGTCAGCGATATGTTCCGTTACTTGGGCTGCATAATTCAGAAGGACGGTGAGTTAGATGGAGATGTATCTCTTAGAATCACAATAGGGTGGATGAAGTGGAAGAGTGCGTCAGGATTTCTATGCGATCGAGGTATGCTGACTAGACTGAAGGGTATATTTTATAGGACAACAATTAAGCCTGCATTACTGTATGACGTAGAGTGTTGAACGGTGAAACAATGTCACATTCAAAACATGAGTGTGACAGAGATGCGAATGGTGCGTTTGATGTGTTGGCATACTAGGAAGGACCGCGTGAGGAATGAGACAATCAGACAAATGGTGGGAGTATCACCTATTGAAGACAAGATGCGGGAGTCGCGCCTACGGTGGTTTGGTCATGTGCGTAGAAGACCGAGTGATGCACCTGTCAGACGAGTTGAGATGTGTGGAGAAGAGGCAGGGAAGAGAGGGAGAGGAAGACCCAAACAGACGTGGGTTAGGGGAGTTTGAAGTGATATGCTTATTCTGGGGTTGGATGAAGGCATGACTTTGGAGAGAGCTAAATGGAGGGCGAGTATTCGTGTGGAGGAGTGATCTCGTATCATCTTTCCCCCTCATCTTTTTTCCTTGTTTTTATCCTTATATATATAAGCATTATTTATATCCTTTTTATTTTATCATTTTTATGTATATTCATCTCTTTTCATATTATCTTTTTATCATAGTTTATCTTTTTTATCTTTATTTTCTTTCTTTTCCTTTTGATGTTGATATGATGTATCGATTCATGTTAGCTGACCCCAATATTTTTGGGACTAAGACTTGGATGTGGTTGTTGTTTAAAAAACATTAACTTGTCTATTGGCTACAGGCTACCTTTATCATTCCATACGCTCTAGCGGCCATATTTACGAGTAAAGCTGGTGCCGGACAAGGTAAGGAAAAAAAATACTGTATCTATATATTCGTATTTTACCGGGACATTTTATTTTAGTGCAAATCTTATCATGTGTATATTTTGTCCCACAGGACTCTCCATAGGGATTCTCAATCTCTCATTTGTCATACCACAGGTTCAACACTTCAACTTCCATAAATCATCATTCATTGTTCTACACTACTAATTAGAGACTTATATATTTATTTCTGGTAGTAAAATCAAACATCTATCTGATAATAAAATAATACCAACATCCACATGATTGCTCATAAAACATAGGGATCCAATTCACCTATAAAAGTAATCTCAATTTTATTTATTTTGATTATTACAAAATTCAACGCGCGAAATCAAAATTTCATGTTTGGTGAAAAAGATAACTGATAAGGTTGTTTATCTGAAATATAAGACTCCCAAACAGGCTCAAAATTTTATAGTCTAATCTTATTTGTTTATGTTTATTCAAGTACAATCTGGTAACAGTCCGGTCTGATAAAAGTCTCTTACTAATGTCTAAGTTTATTTGTTTTGATTTGATCTGATACTGAAATCAATGCAAATGAAAATGTTCTAAATAGAGTCCAGAAAATACACTTATCAGCATATAAATAATGTTCTAATCGTGTGGCTAATTGTCTACATAAAATTACCCTACATAGAAGTAAAAAGGATTTTAAAATAGGAGCACCGTGATTGGCCTAAAATAAGAGTAATCATCGTGATGAACCAAAAATATTACCAAAAATGACATTAATAATGTTATATTAATATCTAGTAATAATGATAAAATATAGGTAGGTGTATGATTTTTAAATAACACTATGGAGAGGGACATATTCACCTAACGGGCCTTAGCGTTGTCCTTGAAGATTATTATCAAAAAAAGATGACACCCCATCACTAAGACCGCTCAAATTGAAGCCAATAGGAATAGAACCAACGACCAAATTGAAGATTATTATCAAAGGTCTTGTTTACGTCAATAGTTTCCACAACAATGTTTCATCAGCCCATCATCAACCTAGTGCAGGTTTTTGCACGCTAAATTAATTTGTAACTGTTTGTACACAGACAATTGATTTTTATTTTGGTAAAAAGAAATATCTGTGATCCCCATTTTCTCGGAGGTACAAATACTTCTTTTTACTAAAATGAAAATAAATTGTCTGTGTGTAGACAATTACACTTGCTCAGGGGCGGATCGAGGAACGGGATGTGGGGTGGGCTAAGTCGTAAAAAAAGTTGTTACCGCACACAAAATGTTTAATTTAGAGTTGTTATCGAACTAAGTTTTTTTTAACTACTCGAGTTTGAACTTGATTTCAAATTTAATTTAATGACTCAAGCTTAACAAGCTTTGAAGTCGAAAACGGCTAGATTTTCAGTTCGAATAGTTATTCAAGTCGAGTTTGAGCTTAGTGATGTTCGGTTCAATCCGGCCGGGCTCAACCTATCGTTAACTTATAAATCATAGGAATAAATTAAACTGTATATAACTTAAAATTTAAACATTTTTAGTGCGATTTTATAAATTTATTAATGATTATTAAAGATTCTAGTATTTCAAATTTCAATTGAAATTTTTAACTATTTCTTACATGTCCACACAATAAATAAATTATTCTGTAATCTTCAATTGTATAATAAATAAATCATTCACATCTTTACTTTTATCTTTAATCATTTTTTGGAAAAAAACAATTTATTATTAACCATTATAAATTCATAATGAATAAACACTATTTTATTATGTACTGAAAAATTCAATTAAGAATCAAATAGATTTACAAAACTAAAAAAAATACATAATAATACAGTCACAAAATAATACAATGTTTCACATATAAAATACAATGACACAATCGCTCCAGATCCTCGGTTCATCAAATATTCAAATAGATTAACAATGTTTCACAAAATAATACAATGCTTAACAAATAATGCAATGTTTAACAAATAATACAAGTTTAATCAAGAAAAATAGTGTAAAAGAGTATTTGAATTTAGAGTATACATGGAGATAGAGGCAAAGCGAGTCGGACTCGGAGAGCCGAAGAGGGAAGACGGCCGACACAGGGCCTTGGACGCATGGACGGCGGGCGGCGGCTCAGCAGTTGACCAGAGATCGGATGGTGTTCATCTTTGGTGTCTCCGTCGCAGCTCCACTACTCCCTCTTTCACCTTCATGCTTCACAGTTCAGTCGCAGCTCCGAACTTCTGGCACCATGTTAGCTTGAAGTAGTTAAGTGGAATAGTTGATAATAGGATTGGATTGGACTGGGAATTAATTTTAAGGTGGGCGAGGAGTTAATTTTGGGATGGGGTGGACATTAAATTTATGCATATACTAATTAAAAAAATAAATATTGGGTTGGGCTGGAGCCCACCCCTGCCCACACAAGGATCCGCCCCTGCACTTGCTGTGTAAACTGGGTTGTAAACCAGTGTGTACAAGTAACATTTTTTGCATGTTTATAGTGAAGGTGAATAGGAACCACCTTCAGAAAGAAAAACATAACAATTCCATTTTGGAATTGCAAAACCTATTTACTCTTGTTTAGCACAATTTGCCTATATGCAATTATGCATACACGTAGGGGCGTATCCAAGGTGGGACAGGGGGCAGTTGCGCCCCCTCTCAACCCTACCCAACCCCTATATATATGCATATCCAATTTAAAATTATACATATATTTTTATGTGTTAATTAAAGAGAAGTTATATACTCCGTAATAAACATGAGAATTGTAACTATAAGTGTCCGTGGCTGAGTGGAAAGACGGGTAGCTATCAACAATGCATCTTTGCTTCAGTGTTTGAAATTTTTCCCTTGCTTCAGTTTTAGTAATTTTATGCTTTTGCCTTTGAAGGCTAAAATAAATTCTAAGTGGTTAACATCATTCTTTCTATTTTTTTCTTGTTAGAAAGATCTAAACTACATCAATATAGTTACCATTATAGTTTAACATATGAACTGATTTTGTACATAATATAAACTTATTTTTTAATTATACTTGTGATTTTTCAATTTGAAATTAATTCAAAGTACATGCTTGATCCTTCCCTTAATTGGTTCATTTATTTATTGTCATAATTTTGCACAAACTACGGACGCCATGTGATAAATTATTTCTAACAAAATGAAATTTAATTAAACATGATATCGTAATATTTTTTGTTCAGAGAATATTTTGTTATTTATAATTGATTTCACATTTTTTCTTAATCTAATTAGTCTGATTTTTCTAGTGATTTTATCTCAATCTAAGGTATGTTCGCCCCCACTAACATACTTATTGGATACGTCACTGCATACACGTCCGCGTGTGCTACACTGATGCATATACAAACTCTTAAAACTTATTTTTTTCTTTTTCTCAGTTACGTAGTACTAGGGGTGGGCGTGGTTGGTTTACCGTGTTTTGGTTAACCAACTTTCCGGTTAACCGAGAAACCTATTACTTCGGTTAACCGAGTATCGGTTAATCAAAGCTTCAGTTAACCGAGTATCAGTTAACCAAAACTTCGGTTAACCACAAACCGGTTAACCAAAAACCATCAAACCATTGATTAAATATATACACACACCATGTTCTTTCTATATTAATTAAGCCCAAACAAGAGAAAAATAAATTTTGAGAGTGGAATACAGGAAAAGATAAAATACACTTGATAAAAATAAACGTGTTCAATTGCTTCAAAAAAAGAATACACATGTTCAAGTCTCACGATTGCAGAATGGGCTAATTAATTATAACTCACAAAAGCTTTGACTAATTATTAATAATATGAAATTAAAAATTCTATAGTGACAAACAGAATTTGGTTTCTTCACATGTTTATTAGAATTGATGTATCTAGATGTGTTGGATACATATTTATCTTTCCAAGTTCTCTGAGAACGTGAAGTTCATGACCAGACATGAACATACCGGTTATTGGTTAACCGATAATAACATATTTCTAAAACCGTAACCGTACCGCAAACCGTTTATTCTCACGGTTGGTTAACCGTACCGTGGATTTAAAAAATTGCGGTTCGGTTAACCGGGAAAAACGGCGATTTTCCGGTTTTTAGGCGCGGTTATACGGTTACGGTTTTTTATGCCCACCCCTACGTAGTACTACGTAATATATTACACAAATGCTATGAATTGAAACCTTAAAGTAGTATATGATCCATTCTAGTTTAGAGATGGTTGTACTAAATTTGAAACAAAGCATTTAATTAATTATAAAATTTATAAATATATGGATAGATGCTAATTGTGGCTCTAGTAGCTTTAGTGACTATAATTGTATTGAAATGGTATATCGTAGTGATTATAAAACTTACTAGCTCATGGTAACTTATAGTCACATTTTCTTCGTTAGATTTTTTATTAGTATATTTTATTTGAAGAATAACCTCTTTATTTATTGTCATATTACTTCTAACCTCAGTTTTATTTGTTAGTTGGTGGTGTCATTCTTGAGTGGACCTTGGGACGCACTGTTTGGTGGTGGGAATTTGCCTGCGTTTATAGCAGGAGCAGTTTCAGCCGCCATGAGTGGGATACTTATAATCACACTTCTTCCATCTCCTTCCCATGATGAAAATTAAATTAGATGCTGAAAGCTCAGTAATCAAGTGATGTAATTGTAATAAGATTATAGTGTGTACTCTAAAAATAGGGTCATTTTCATCTTCTTAATTGGTGTAGAGCTATATAGTTGCCATGGTTATCAATGGATTATATACTGATCACATTGTATTCTTATTTCTTTGATTATATGTTGGTAAAGTGTAATTATCAAAGAAGAAGGTGTATATACAAAATATGTATCTTAGATTCTTAGTTGGATGATTTAACTTATACAAATTGCTCTAAATATGAGCAAAAAAGTTTTGAAATTTCAAAATATGAGTATCATGTTATTTATTCCCTAAATAGGAGTAATCTGCCAAGTTTGGAAAAAAATGCCATGTTTTAAAGTCTTGTAATACCAAACTTGACAGAAATTTACTCATATTCAAGAAATAAAAGTCATACTCAAGAGTGGTAGAAAAAAGGTAAGTATGAGATTGAAAGTCTTAAACACTAAATTATTCTCGCTTCATCCTAAATTGATTAGTAAAGTCAACATTTTTTGTCAATCAATTTTAAAGTTAAATTCCTCACATTGATAATTAACAATTTTTACCCATCCTGGATCCGGCCTCTTCCGCCTCCCATTTTCATCCCTTTTTGTCTTTTGTAACTCATTACTATGCCTTTGCTTCCAACCTTGAGTTACCGCTGCCACCATTGCTAGTACGGCTTGACAAGTCGATATTAATTTGCCCAAAAAAATCACTATAGTGATAGACTTGAACACGATTCTGAACACTTCACTTGAAATGATCTATGCGTCTGTATATTATTCACTAAGTCATATTTTTGTCCACTACTTTTATTTTGATCATATATTTATCATTGTCTCATTTTTATCTCCATCAAATCATCATCCGTTTCCTATTAAAAACACATGTTTATCTCTTGCCATGTATCTTATTTCATTTAATAAAGACTTATAAATTTATTATAGATTTCACAAAAAATGAAAAACATATTTATTTAAATTTCCCAAATGAAAATTTGGTCGAATAATCGAATTCAATACAGTTAAAATGGTCACTGTAATTTCAGGATATACATATTATATTATTAAATAACATTCCGATGTTATAATTGAGGCTAGTCTAATTAATACCATAGTAATACTGTAATATAAGATTTCAAAAATCAGTATTCTGTGCTAGGAGGGTTGGGCAAATGGGTACAAAAACCGCAGGTTGGACCGGGTAATACAAGTTCGGGGCGGGTTAAGGTAGGGTCCTGATTTTGGAAAACTCAAACGGTTCGGGGCGGGGCGGGGGCTTTAAGAACTTAGGAACCAAACGGGTCTTAAAATTTGAAAAAACGGGTATCCGGACTGAACCGTTTTATAATATTATTTTAATAAACTATATTATATTTAATACTCCCTTCATCCCACAAAACTTGGTCAGAGTTAATTTTCACGTAGATTAATAAAGTAAAAACTATGTGGTTCAAACTTGTGCAGAGCGGAGAGAAATAATTTTAGCCACATATTCCTTACTTTAAATGGAAATGACAAAATTTTTAGAACAACCAAAAAAGGAATTTTGGTGAAGTTTTATGGGACGAAAGGAGTATTATATACTAACAAGACACGAAATCACTTCATGTTTATGTCTTTGGACAAGGACTCTCAATTAAAGAAACTTGTGATTCTATTATAAAGAGTTTCAATGTTCATATAAATTCCTAAATTATTTTCCCCAATTCTCTATTCCAAATGCATCAAATTTTCTTTCGTTAATATTTAATTTATTTGTATACAAAGACTTATCTTACTCAATGAAGTGTGACATTTCCATTTAAATATCTTAATTTTCATTATAATTTGATATTTAATAAGCTTTTAAATTGTTTTCATAGATAAAAATGTATAGTAACTAGTTTATTTGTTACCACTTTATAGTGCTATCTTTTTTGTTTATGGATGATGATATCTAAATTTTTACATTTTAAAATTTAATGTTATTTGATTTATGTTGTTATACAGTTTTAATTCGAATTTTTACTATATTAAGGTGATATTGATATTAACTACTTTGAAAATTTTATAGCTTACGAGATACTTTGTTAGCATAGCCGTATTTTTCACAAAAAACGAACCGAGAACTCGGATCGAACCAGCCCATTTCAAACGGGGTGGGGTAGGTCCGGTTCCTATTTCAAAACTTAGTATACCCCGACCGAATCTACCCGTTAAATAGAATTGACAATTCTTGAAAAAATTTCATTTGCTCGAACCAACCCGGACCGTGTCCAAAGCCGTGCCTTATGTAAGGCTGGAGAGGCTTGGGCCTCAGGGCCCCAAAAAATTGCAAAAATTAGGGGCCCAAAATTATATATATATATATATATATATATATATATATATATATATATTAGTATTATACATATGTATTTCTAGTTATTTTTTTATTTTTCCTTTTGGGCAGTTCGATTTCTATTTCTAGGCTTCTAGGTTCCAAGTTCTATAGTTAATTCTATCAGTCTATGTTTTTTTATTTGCTTATGTTGTTATTTGTTTGTATTTTCAGAAATTTTCTAACTTTATATTGATGTGCTAAATGCTAATGTGATGCATAATTAATTTGTCATGTGTGAATGCCAAATAGACTAATTTGTAAATTTTTAAATACTAGTTGATTCTTGCTTGTTTTTTATTTAGTGTTATCAATATTGCAATTATGAAATTCTCAATTCACATTAATTAAATTAAATGCTTTGTATTTTATAGTGAAAATTAGCAATATATATTGTTAAGGATTCCACTAAATTATGTTTTTTTAGTATCATGCCTCTCAAATCTATGTATCGATTTCAAAAGAGGAAAACAAAATCACGTACCGAATCATTAACTCAAAGTCAAACCGAAACATTAATAAGTACGTAGTACTTGATTTCGAATAAAAGTGCCACTTTGAAGAGTATATCTTCAAGCGACTTGATCAGTACATTTGCATCTAAAAATGTTTGACGAGTTGTACTTAATTAGTTTTTTAATACATCCAATGTCATTTTGCTATAATGCAAGACTTTATTTTAAGAATTGCGATTTTGTGATTTTAATCATTGAATTTTAATGATTCTATATGACAAAGAATCACTGTGCTTAGGGACCATTTATGAAGCTCAACTCAGACCCGAGTTTAGGTAAGATCGGCAACGACCGTGCCCACCCGTGCTCATTATAGAAATATCACATTCTAGTACTCCGTATTAAGAATTAATTTCTTGGATATTAATTACTACGTATATCACAACGTAACATGCAATATAAATAAGGGTTAATTATAATAATATAATAAACGTAGGCATCGGAATAACGGAAAGCAAATAAAAAAGAAATGCTACTGAAAAGAGTTCGAAATTAAAGAAGAATTGTGAAGGGATTTGGATAATAAGAGAGAATTGGGAGATAAAGCGAAAAGTAGAAATAGAAAAGAACGGAAAGAAAAGAAAGGAATCGATGCTTCAACGACTCAACGTGTTCAAATGATAATCTATTGTGTCAATTATCAGCAAGAATTATTAGTAAACATACTTGATTTAATGCATGCTTGAATGTACTTTCATTTTCTATTTAATCTTTATTATATACTTCGTGTATAAATTCTCTATATATGTATTTCATTATAATTTTTAAATTAAATTTTAGTTATTACGGAGTATAATTTTGTACAATTTTACAATGCAATGATAATACGTATATTACTTCTAGTAAATTCTAATCATATTTTTAGTCATAAATTTTATTTACGTAATATTTTGACAACTACTCCAATCTCATCTTTTTATAATAGAGTATGGATTCTCCTATAACCACAACCTCAATGATTTAGCAAATTCAATAAATTAATTTTGCCCACTATATCATCTCAAATGGAATTCTTCACATGTATAGTAAGCTTCTTTTTTTCACTCTTAGTTTATCATACTTTCTAATTTTCTTTTTAAAATTTAAGTGTTTTTTTTCAAAACTACACTACATTATAAACTGTCCACCAACAGAATTTGAGTTGTCTGTAAATTTATGCGTCTGCATATATATCATAGATAGACTAGAGTTTAATGTAGAGTTAGGTGAGAAATAAGAACATCATAAAAATGTAAATTCTAGTTTGTGACACTGGGCGTCCATAACGCATATATAGTTCAAATTGATATAACGTAATACTCTCTCCGTTTCAAATTGTTTTACAAAGTCAACATTTTTTTGTTAACCAATAAAAAAAGTCAATGCTCCCTATTGATAATTAATTCAATTTTTAATAATTAAAATTTATATATTTAGAAACTACATTAAAATATCTTCAAAGTTGTAAACTCCAAATTAGAATATATTTAAACAATGACATCCTAATTAAGCAAATAAAATGTAACTGTTTGACAAAAAAAAAATCAAATTTGCAAATCAATTTAGGACGGAGATAGTATTTTTTATAATTCATTTACAAAAAATGTAATTCATGATATTGGGGGCCGAACTGGTGTCAGACTGAGGCCATTTGGGGGTCTTTCTTGGTGGAATTTTTTGATGAAATATTTTTAAGCATGTTCAAAGATTATCTACACAAACTTTCAGGTTACGAATCAATCGGGAAAGTAGTTAAAAAAATTATTGAAAGATATTGCACATTATTTATATACATAAAGCGCATTATGCTTAAATATTTTATTTAAATGACTTTGCGGTTGAACTGTAAACTGAAATTGTGTGAAGATAATCTACATTTGATGAATAAGATGCTCAAATTTTTTTATTAAAAACTTCAACCAAGAAAGCCCCAAATGACATTGGCATGAGGGCGGTTCCCGTCAGACTGTCCTGAAATGAATTATCCTCTCTATATTGACGATAAAGTTGGAAAGTATTAAATCTTCCACCTACGTAAGATCAAAAGAGGAAGGTATTTACTACATAAATTCAAAGAATCGAACGAATCTTCCGGCCGGCCGCTGCCTAAAGAGATTATGAATGAAATGAAAAAAGTGTTTACTTTTTTATCCAAACTCTGTTTTGAAGTTTTTTTTTATCCGAACTTGTAACTTGATAATGATATTGAGTAATACAGAACGGATCAATTTCATAGTAGTTTATGTTTTAAAATCAAATAAATAATTTATTCATCAAATAGTACAAAGAAACAAGCTAAGTGAGTGAATAATAGTCTACGGCTATAATGAGATGAGAATTTGAACGGAAATATCTCATGAATCCTTCTGTATCGCTAATTCTGAAATAATGTAGTATAATCTAAC